CAAGTGTACGCCCCAACACCCCGATGAAGAGATAGATGAGTTCTACGAGAAAATAATAGAAAGCAACACGAACCATCACAGCACTTATACACTTATAATAGGAGATTTCAACGCTAAGATTGGACAACGACTAGAAGAAAGTGAAAACTATATTGGTGAATTCGGCTATTGTGTTAAAAATAAGAGAGGAGAAACCCTGGTAAACTTCCCACATAGCAACAAATATTTCGTAATGAACACATTTTATAAGAAAAAACCGCAAAGAAAGTGGACGTGGTTATCACCAGACGGAAAAACAAGGAGCGAAATCGATTACATCATGTGTAACAAGAAAGGTATCGTAGAAGATGTAACAGTAATAAATAATGTCTCTCTGGGCAGTGATCACAGAATGGTTAGAGCTAAACTAAGGATTAAGTATAGCAAACGTAGAATTAACTTTAATAACACGATACAAATAGACACAGAAAAGCTAAAAGTCGATAAAGAAAAATATGCTAGCAAATTAAAATCCGCCCAAGCACTAAATCTAGAACAACTCGGCGTTAATAAAATTAACTCGGTTATAACAAAAGAACTATTGAATGCTAGCTCAGAAGTAGCAACCCGCCATAACAACAAAAAATCCAAAATAAGTGCAGAATCGAAGAATACGCTGAAACAACGAAAAGAGCTCCTGTCACTAAACAAAGGAAATACCACAGAATACAAAGAACTTAATCGAGTCATACGAAAACAGATAAAAGACTAATTACTATTAAACTGGGAATAAGCCACAATTAAAGATAAAAATACGTTTATTGGCGTTTCAATTTCCACTTCGGAAATCCTGGAAATTGAAACGTCAATAAACGTATTTTTATCTTTAATTGTGGCTTATTCCCAGTTTAATAGTAATTAATTTACAATGCCACAAGAAAATAGCTTCAGAACAATATTAAGATAAAAGACGATATTAAAAAACATCAACAAGAACATGTAGAAAGAGTGATAGAGAAAAATCGAAGTATGAAATATACCAAACCGAAATTAGGAAAGAAAAAAAACATACCAAAGGAATGGAATTAATACACAAAAAAGGGGACAATACAGATCTGAAAAATTATTGTCCAATATCACTACTATCACAACTTTATAAAACATTCACAAAAATAATTACAAATAGATTGACAACAAAGTTCGATGTATATCAACCAGTAGAGCAAGCCGGATTTAGAAAAGGGTTCAGTACACGTGACCATCTTCACACACTAAAGGTCCTAATATAAAAAGTTAACGAATACAATTTACCAATCTGTTTAGCATTTATAGAATACGAGAAAGCTTTTGACAACATAGAATTATGGGCTATTGAGGAAGCACTGGTCAACAGCAGAATAGATTCTAGATATAGGATATTAATACATAATATATATCAATACGCTGAAATGGTAGTCATGATGGATAACGGAATGAAAACGAGGCCAATAAAAATCAATCGAGGAGTAAGACAGGGAGACACCATATCTCCAAAACTATTTACTGCCGCACTTGAAGACATCTTTAAGTCACTAAATTGGGAAACGAATGGACTATCGATAAACGGAAAGTATTTAAACCATCTAAGATATGCAGATGACGTAATACTAATAGCCGACAGCTGGAAAGAACTGAAGACGATGATCGATGAGCTTCATACGGAATCCATAAAAAAAGGACTGAAAATGAATCTGAGTAAAACTAAGCTAATGTTGAATAAAGACGATCAACCGACGATAACCATCCAAGGAACAAAAGTAGAACATGTAGAAGAATACATATATCTGGGTCAGAATATCAAGGTAAACAAAGAAAACCAAACTACCGAAATGGGCAGACGAGTAAGAATGGGATGGGCCGCATTTGGAAAACTCTCATACATACTGAAAGACAAAAAGATACCCCAAAACCTTCGAACCAAAGTGTTCGATTCTTGTATCCTTCCCGTTCTCACTTACGGAGCTCAAACCTGGATATTCACAAAAAAGAACAAGAAAAGAACAAGCAATCCGGAACAAAACAAAAATAAAGGACGCCGCGAAACAAGCAGCTAAATTAAAATGGAAATGGGCTGGACACAACGAACGTCTCGAAGATGATAGATGAAACAAAGAAGTCGGAAACTGGCGACCGTACGATGCGAAGAGACCAAGAGGAAGACCTCAAATGCGCTGGAGCGATGGTATCAAAAGAGTCGCAGGACCAATGTGGAAACGCCTAGCACACAACAGGGATGAATGGCGAGAAATGGGAGAGGCCTTTATTCGACAATTCGGATACCGTAATCATAATAATAACTTTTCAGTTTGGAGTTTTTACTTAATTTTTTATTTCTTAATACCTTCTTATTTCTACGTATATAGTACTTTTTAATCTTGTAGTATTCTTTGCCGTATTTGTTTCTTTTATTACTTGTGTGCAGTAATATCCCAAGGTATTTAAATTATTCTACTTATTGAAAGTTATACTGATTAATTTTGAGTGAAGATAATTGGAGTTTGTTCTTCCTGTTACACTGCATATATTTCGATTTCTGTTCATTTACCTCCAAACCGTATAAAAGTCCATTAATTTTTGTTTCAATTTAAATGTATTAACATAACGTGTTAAACATCTTTCCAAAACTTGTGTGTAAATTACTTTCTCTAGAATCTATCTCCGTTAATTTTCACAATGTTTTTATGTCTCCTGAAAATTAGAAAAAATTTGCATCCTTTCTTAATAATATTCTACGTGTTTTAAAACAAAACTTTTTATTTTATCAACCGACAACTTTACACTACAGTTTAAAAATATTTCAGAAATTATTTCATATTGGTTCAGTTGATTTTGTCTTACTGGTTGCCTATTCAGTTACCTCACTTAGAACTTTTTTATTTCCCAAACGAATTTTCAATGTAGGGTCTCGCTTTACAAATTGATATTATTTATTTACAATTATTTGTTCTGATTATTCGTCTAGTTTTGTATACAAAGACATAATCCACATTCAATGATGTGAAAAATGACGATTATAAACCAAATAGAAAATGGCAGACATAAGATGCGGAAGAATACGCATCTCCTGGTCAAACAATTTGAGAGCTTGGTTTAGCTGTACTTCTGCTGACCTCTTTAGAGCAGCTGTATCGAAAGTGCGAATTGCCATGATGGGCCAACCTTCTTAGAGGAGATGGCACATGAAGAAGCAGAAGACATAAGATACAGCACTAGTTTTAATTTCCACAGAATGCAGTAAACTTTACATTTTCCTTAGAGGAAAAGTAACTAACCACTATTATGTACAAACATGTTATAAAAATTTATACATATATGCCCAACCCGAAATAAACAGCTAGTTTTGCTAACGAATATTTAGTAATAAATCTTCGGTTATGCAGCTAATATAGAAATTATCCTACTTCATATATCTATTTCTGAACTAGTTTTTTCTATTATTCAACAATGTAAGTGTCAAGATCTCTTTTGTCACTCAAAATACCTTTATGACTAACAAATTGTGCTATTATAGTAATGATATTAGTAAATTGTGTATCAAAAGAGTTTTATCACAGACCCATCATGATTAAAATTAAAGCAGCTGTTCAACCAAATACAATCCCATTAACGAGACGTTTCAATTTTAAGAAAGTCAACTGGCAGACGTTTTCAGAGAAAGTAGAAGAATACCTAACATCCATGGAGCTAGACCCTACAAAGTACGATGCATTTGTGAAGGCAATCAACCGAGCGTTAAGTAAGGCCATATCAAGGAGATGCAGAACCAACTATATTCTTGGATTGACTGACTACAATTGCAAACTGTGCAAAAACTACTGCTGGTTATATAATGAGAACTCTTTATCTCCAACAACGATTGAAGCAAGCGAATGCTTACTCGTGGAATATCAGAAACTAGACGCCATTAGAATTAATAAAGAGTTTAACTGGAGACAAGACATTGCAATTCATCCTCGTCAATGTAACTCCGAATCAGGTAGCTACACATGTTCTACAGAACGATAACCCACGTAAGGTCAAAAAAATCTAAAGCAGTTCATAAAGTTCATAAAGAGAGGTTAGTGTCTGGAATCTGATAAATTCGACCGGGAATTTTTTATGGCCGAACTGGATATGGCCATTGTAGAACTTAATATAGGTAATGCCTAATGTCAGAAATGAAATCCTTAAAAGCATAAGCAGTTTTTCGAAAATTTTACTATTAAAGCTCTCAAATCAATCTAGTATTAAATGATAGGCTAAGATCTCAAAACTATGACGACAATCTAAAGAACTATATTAAAACCAGGAGGGGATCAAGGAGATCCAAACGCTACTACCCTATCTTTTAGGGGTAAGAACAAGCAGACTTTAGAGGAAAGGGGTAATGTACTATCCAAATACTTCATTATACCCAGTAAATCGAGGACAGTTATTAAAAGGAATTAAAGACCGGAATCGTATTCTTTCCCACATTAATTCTGACTAAACGACCTTTCAGTTTTGAGTAATAGGGAAAACAAGACATTTTCCTACCCAAAAATAGGAGTACCACAAGGAGGAAGGAGAAATACTGACGTTAGTAGGGTAAAGTGTGCATATCGCGGTCACCTAAGAAGAAAATTTAATATAAAAAAAGTAAAACTCTGTGAATCAAATTTAAGCCGTCAATCCGTAATTTGGGGTTTTAACTTATTGCAAGATACATTTAATTTCAAAAATATAAAATTTTTGTCTTTGACAGAGACAAAACATAAAAAAGTATCTTTGACCGGTATTGTCACCATACATGGACAATACCGATCATGAGTGTGGGTAATGCCAGTCAATTTGTTTCTGTTATTACTAAAATAAAAATCAATATATATTTAACATTTTTTTGTTATAAAACGATTAACGAATGTGGCTTAATGGGTCATAATTCAAGTAAATCAGTAAGAAAGGTGAAAAAATATTTTTTATTACAAAACAAACAAAAAATAACAAAAATATGTGTTTTAATGTAAAAATAGTTTACAATCATCGCAGGTATAACTCACTGCAGAATCCCATCCACTGCACTCTGAATAAGCCCATCGTGAGCAAACGGTAAATATATACCACAATTCATTGTTTTTGCCAAACTCGCTTTAAACCAGGCATCTATCTTCGTATGCATCGTCACTGTTATCACATGATATATCAATATTCGATTCCAAAGAACTAGAATCAAACACCTTTTTCTTGTAATGCCAATTACAAGAAAAAGGTGTTTTATTACAAGAAAAATTATCTTGTAAACCCAAATGCTAATTTTCTCAGTTCTATTGCTGTTACGCCATAAAAAATTACGCTAAATATTTTTTTTGTGTGGCTATTTTAGCTTCTTGTTCGGCAGAAAATACTGATTTTCTACCTAATGGGACACCTTGAAGATTTTTATTTTTTATTCTTTCTTGCAATGTCGAAAAATGGATGGATTAATCCCTAAGGATTAATAGTATAGGGCATAAATTATGGCATGGGGGTAATACCGGTCAACTGACCGGCATTGCCTCCTGTTGGCATTTTTTTTCTTAGAATTTTTTACTCGTAAACATGTATTAAAATATTGATCTTTAAAAAAGGAATAGGCAGCTAACGTCATTATAATCAATTGTAATCAATTTTAAGATCTACAAGTGAGTAAAAATGAATTAAGACCTTATATTACTCAGCATAAAAATAAGATCGAAAACACTGAAAACAGGTTAATAATATTTCTATGACAATGGTTTGCACCAACTCAACGCTCGTCAGCAATCTGAATACAGAGTAGTGTAGCGACACGTTGGCAGTTATAGGAGGTTGCCAGATTGAATAGATTTCGCACAATCGGGATGACCGCCATTACCCACTGACTGGTATTTGCACAGTTTACCCTACTCTTTAACATATCTACTAATGATCAACTGTATTGCGCAAAAAAAATTATTCATGGTGATGATTGTGTAACCACCTATTAATGTAGTAGTATTCTGGACATATTACGGATAAGCTCGATTTTGTAGAAAGGTAAAAAAAAGTTGGACAAATGCAGTAAAAACCTGAAAACCTGGTTTTCACTTAAACGATGTTTTTGTTTGCTTCTTTGAGGGCTGAGATTATTATTTTTCATATATTTTTTGATTGTGAATTAAATACGCATTTATTTAGGTTGTATCGATCTTAAAAATATGATTAATGCCGCAAAAATCCTTAAAAACTGAAAAAAAAAACATGTTTTTTGGGTAATTTAAAGATGTTTTGTCAATTTTTTCAAGTTCTAAATGACTCTGTTACTTCAAATTATATATAACCTATAAGAAAACCTCAATTTGATATATTTTGAAGTTTATAAAATTGGGAAAATCCCCAAAACCCCTAAAAAAAGTTTTTCGGATTTTTTGAAGGTGGCGCACCTTACGGAAAAATCCGAAAAAAAAATTAAACCTAAAAGAAAGGTATAGGGTCTATAAAAAAAGTTTTGTAAAAGCTTCAACTATGCGTGTTAAATTTTTAAAAATTTTTAAATTGATAGCAACCCACCGAAAAAAACCTCAACCTTTTTGGGAGAGGGGGAGGGGTAGCGGTCGAAAATTGCAGTAAGTCTTATTTTTTTATTCACAAAAGGCGTAAGAAAAGAAAAAAAAATGAATCTTGAAAGTGAGGGCATTTTGCCTCTCTTAAGTCCTAGAATATTTGCTATATAGTTCAGCTTTGTGACTATATAATAATTATCGAACGCAGAAATATACATTTATTAAGCGCATTTACATCGAACAGAGTTTTGTTTTGTAAAAACTTAATGGCATGCTTAAAACGCAAATTAAAAATTAAAAGCAGATTGGTAATAAAAGGTACTAACATATTATTGTTGCAAAGCCTTCAAACTAGAGCCCTTCAAGCATTTATTTAACTCATTCTTGAGAATATTTTTATACAGATTTATTTCTTTATCTTTTTACTGTCCTAAGCTATTATAAAGACTTATTAAACTATTAAACTAGACGCCTTATTGTTTCTATTAAGACACATTAGACACAAAGACATACATATATATATATATATATATATATATATATATATATATATATATATATATATATATATATATATATATATATATATATATATATATATATATATATAATTTAACTTTACGTAAAAGCATACGATACATCACCGTATTTTTTACTCATTATAGGCATATTGCATATATATTTTTATTTACCATACATAGGCAATTTTCTAAAATGCTTGGTAACTGGGAAAGACTCTAAAACATGTCAGACATGTGCCAAACTATCAAATAATTAAAATAACACAAAACACATATAAAAAGCGTTAAAAACAAACATGCTGATAAAAGGTAAAATCGAAGAGCTCAAAATATATAATTTAAAATAAATTAAAGTCTATTAAAAATCTATCGTCATATTATTCAACAAATTTATTTAGGAACAATGCATATTAAGCAAAATTAAATAATGGCATTATGTAGCATTATGTAGTATGCCATTTTTTAAACTTATAGGACATTTAATCTACCGTTTTCTTTATGATCAAGTCCATTTCATCTTAATACCTCACCATGCAGCTACCTATTCATTTTTTTACATAAATATTTATTAAAACATTTATTCGCTCCGTGCGTGACTGATGCGACACCTACCGCCTTCATCTGACAATTTTGGAGTCCCAATTTTCAGGTTAAACATATGACATATGTTTGACATTGTTAAATACATGCGAAATTGACAATTATTAATAAATTAGTTTTTTAACTATATTTTTTCAGTTTATGTACAAAATAAATGTAGTATTAAAAACTGGGTTTCTTAAAATTCATCATAATATATCTTTTCAGCTCCAAACGGAAAAGAAAGGGAAAAATCTAGTACTGGCAAATCAAGTTTTTCACGCAAAAGAGCATATAATTAAAAACAATAATAGTAAAAGTTATGATATAAAAGCTAAAGTCATCTGCAGTTAGCTTGAAGCCTTATGAAATATCATTCAAGGTAAATTATTTAAATTTTTCCTATGTCAATTGCATAAAAATGAAATTATGTGATATTTACTTTTTCATATTAATAGCACGAATTCATCTTTTTCTTTTCTCTAATTTATATGTAATCTTTGGGAACCTATAAAAACTACACTCACTGTTTTTGCTATTATTATCACAATTAAATACGCAACATGTATTTGCACACATTTTTGATAAAATTTATGCGTAGATAAAAATATTTTGTCCAATATTCCAATTTTGTCATATTTCACCGCTACGCACGCTGGCATCGTTTCAATGTACCCCTACCATGGTCACGCACGGAGCGAATAGTATAAATTAAAAATATCTATCCTAATTTCAAATCTATATTTCGCTATAAAGTTTATAATCGAGGGTCTTTCAAAATATACCATAATAAAAACGATAGTAACACATGATCACCGTGTTATCAAACAAAAAAAAATATTAAATTGTATAAATATTATTTGGCTTTAATTGTAAAACACTGAAGTTAAATAATTTATTTAAGATCCCAATTTAACAATGTACAGCTTCTATCTTGTTTAGAAAAGAACAACACATTTACTGGCTGTTAGTATATGAGTGATGTTCTACCATCAGCTTCCCGTCCAATAATGTTTGTAGGCAACTTCAACAGCCGTATATAAGATCTATTATTATAACTACTTTCTAAGCTACTTTTAGCTTGTTATGTTCTAAGGTCACATTTTCTAACCTAGCTGTTAATGCTAAATCTTATGTCCATACTGTTTGGGTTTCAGATTTGAGAAGGGCATTTGACTCTAAAAATTTCACTTATTTGGGACTCAAAGAGATTTGTGAGTTTGTCACTGGATTGTGGCTTTGATTTTAATAATTCACATTCTGCTTTCTACCTTTCTGCTTCACTTTGCCAGTGTTTAGCACTCTCTTCAGAGCTATCTGAAGACCTTTTGTTTTAGGCATTGTAAAGAGATAGATTTTTAACATTTTTCTCTAACCCCTGCAGTTGTTTTCTATACTTTTCTTCATCTTGGTTATGCAGTTTTTCTTTATTAGTTCATTCTGTTTGGAGATTGGTGATTAGTTTTTTTCTAATATTTCGGAATCTTTCTCAGCTATTGAATTAAATAATTGAGCAGTTTCAAGAATTTTCTTCTGCAATTGGTCATTTAACACGCTGATAACAACGTTAGGAATACTTTCGGTTATTTTGTTCTTATTTTTCTTGCCACTATTACTAGTTTGCAGCTCTTGCTGAGGGACTACAATTCCTTTTGTTAACTGATCCTTTCGAAAAGTAAGGCTTTCAATTTCTTGATCACATTTCCTAACGGTTTGTTCGTGATTTCTGACTATTATTATATTATGAAATAATTCTGATGTATTTAGGCGTACTTAAATTTGCTATCTAAAAATCTGAGAACGATTTATATTTCCAATACTCCACAGCTCACCGCTTACCAGATGGAATTTTTCCAAAGCATATTGGAAAGTATTCTTAACAGACCAAGACAATAATATTATATTTTATTTGGTCTGCACGTCTAAAACATATTATAAGACAAACCGTTTGATCACAACATCAAGGTTAATGTAATCACCACTCCCTTGAGAGAAGATACTTTGATTAACCAATGAATAGTATGGTGGGAAATTAATCGCATAAGCTTCAAAACATGACAAAGTAACATAAGAACACCATTGGAAAAAATAATAACTTTTACTATGATATGATATTTTACTCCAATAACTATAATTGACAAAGGCAAGCATAACTAAAACATTATTGGATGATATGGACTGGGCGATAGAAATGAAAGAGGAGATTATTTCGCAGATTTTTGCAAAGAACATAACCTATGTGTAATGAATACCTTTTCCAAACTACCTAAACGGAGATTATATACATGGAAATGTCCAGCAGACATTCCCCGTAATATCGTCAGAAACCAAATTGACTACATAACTATCAGGGAGCGTTACAGAAATGCAGTAAAGTCTGTTAAAACGTTTCCTGGTGCCGATGTTCCATCTGATCACAAACTGTTGTCAGCCGAAATAAAATTAAAACTTAAACGGATAAAACAACAACGATCCTATAACAAACTGGATGTGGATTTTATTAGAAACAATAGTCAGATGATTGCAAACAATTTAGAGAGCAATTTTGGGAATTATGAACAACAAGAATCCATCGAGGGTCATTGGAAGCAAATCAAAACGATTATAAGCAAACTTAACTTAACTCCAAACTTAAAAGAGACCAGTCAAAAAAAAACACAACAGTGGATGAACGATGAGATTTTGAATTTCATGGAAAAAAGACGAAATTTTAAGAACCAAAACATCGAAATGTATAAAGTAATTAATAAAGAGATAAGGGCTAAAATAAGAGCTGCAGAACAAACTTACTTCGAAAACAAATGTTTAGAAATTGAAAAGTTACAAGGAAAACATGATTCATTTAATATGTATAAAAAAATAAAAGAACTGACAGGTTAGAACAAAAAACAGGCCAAATAATATCGTTGATAGAGACAGAAAACTGATTATCACTAATTTGCATACAATAGACAGATGGAAAGAGTACATTGTGGAACTGTTTAGTAATGAAAGGTCGGAGCTTGAAATTAACGAAGTAGTTACAGGACCTGACATAACTATGGACGAAATTGAACAAGCAATACGATTAGCAAAGACCCGAAAAGCGACGGGACCAGATGAAATACTGAGTGAAATAATAAAGCTCTTTGAAAGTTCAGGTAAAATATCTCTCCTTCATCTGTTTAATACAATTTATGAAACTGGCTATATACCAACGGATTGGCGGTTGTCGACTTTTGTGACGATACCTAAAAAAGCAAATGCAAAAGGATGTAGTGACTACCGAACCATCAGCTTGATAAATCATGTTTTATAGATATTTCTACGAATTTTGCACTCTAGGATGTACCAAAAAAAATAACAACAACTTGGTGACACACAATTTGGATTCCGCAATAACCTTGGAACAAGAGAAGCACTATTTAGTAATCAGGTTATGGTAAAGAGATACAGAGATGTCGGATATTCAGTTTATATGTGTTTATATGACTTTAAGAAGGCCTTTGATCGAGTAAAACATACTGAAATGATAGCCATTCTTCAGCAGGTAGGTATTGATGATAAATACCTCATCATCATCATCAATGGTGCTACAGCCCTATGAAAGGGCCTCGACCTTCCCAAGTCTATTACTCCAGGCAGTCCTATCCATTGCCAATCGTTGCTAGTTTGCTGCGCCTATCTTTCTACCATCCTCATCTACACCATCCTTCCATCTGAGTTTTGGCCTACCCCTTTTTCTACTTCCTACGGGATGTGACATAAGGATTCTTCTAGGAGGGTTGTTTTGCTGTGGTCTTGCTAGATGTCCTGCCCATCTTAGTCGTCCTATTCTTATAAGAGATACTACGTCTTTACCACCAAATATTTGTTTATATCTGTGGTATACCTCGTAGTTGTATCTCCTCCTCCAAACACCATTTTCACAGATGCCACCAAATATTCCTCTCAGGATCCTTCGTTCAAATATAAGCGGAAGGTCTTCGTCTGCCTTGGAGATGGTCCATGTCTCCGATCCATATGTCAACACTGGCTGTATAAGGGTTTTGTATATGGTTATTTTTGTTTTTTGGCTTAAGTTTCTACTTCTCATATGTCTACTCAGTCCAAAATAGCGTCTGTTTGCCATTATTATCCTTAAATACTAGAATAATACTTATACTTAAATACCTACGCATTATTAAAAATCTTTACTGGCATCAACGTACAAACGTCAGGATTGACCGTGACAGTTCTGAAGAGCTTCAAATACGAAGAGCAATAAGGCAGGGCTAACAATAGGGCCAATACAACCGGAACTGGTAACAGCTTATGGTGAACAACTGGAGAGAACTAACAATATCACTTACCTTGGTTGTAATCTAAATGAGAACTGGGATATAAGCAAAGAAATAAGAATGCGGATAGAGAAGGCTAGAGCTACATTCTTTAAGATGAAGAAACTGTTATGTGGAAACAATATTACTTTAAGTTTGAAAATTAGATTAGTGAGATGTTATGTGTTCTCTACTCTTTTGTATGGTGTCGAAGGTTGGACTTTGACGGATACACTTCTCAATAAACTGGAAGCCTTCGAAATCTGGGTGTATCGGAGAATCCTTCCAATAAGTTGGGTGGATAGAGTTCGTAACGAAGTTGTTTTGCATCGGATGGGAAAGTTACGGAAGTCGTCAAAACAGTTAAAAATCGCAAACTATTAAACTATTATCGCAAATATTTTGGCCATGCTATGCGCCACCCAGAGAGATATAATATACTCCATTTAATAATATAAGGTAAGGTAGACGGAAGAAGAGGGCCAGGTCGAAAAGAACGTCATGGCTTAGAAACCTGAGCGATTGGTTTAACAGATCCACTGCATCTCTTTTCCGAGCTGCCGTCAACAAAATTACTATAGCCAATTTGATAGCCAAGTAATCCAACTTTGGACATAGGCCTCCCCCAAATCAATCAAGTGTTTTCTATTTTGCGCCACTTGCTTCCAGTTGTGTCCTCTGATCTTCTTAATGTTATCAGCTCATCTCATTTGTGGTCTTCCTCTGCTTCTATTTCCTAACCATGGTCTCCATTGTTGTATTTCGTGGTTCCATCTCTTATTCTTCAGTCAGGCATTGTGTCGTGCGAAGCTCCATTTTAATTTGGCAGCATGTTCTCCTGCGTCTTTGACTTTCGTTTTGCTACTAATCCATTTGTTTGTTATTTTGTCTTTAAGTCTCACACCGAACATTGATCTTTCCATTGCTCTTTGAGCTTTCACTATTTTATCTATGTTAGACTTGGATAGTGTAAACGTCTGTGAGCCATACGTGAGTATAGGGAGGATACACTGATCGCTATTTCTGATTTTCAAATATTGTTCTATTTTAGTGCTTTTTAAGATCCAACTCAGTTTTCCAAATCCTGCCCACGCTAATCTTATTCTTCTGGTAATCTCGGTCGTTTGATTTTCTTTGTTAACTTTTATTATCTGTCTAAGGTAGATGTATTCGCTTACTGTTTCTAAATTTATGTCGTTCAACGTTATTTTTCTTATGTTTGGTGTATTTGTTATTATTTTTGTTTTTTACAAGTTCATACTAAGACCTAATTATTGTACAGTTGATTAATGCAATGGTATAGTTCTTCTACTTATGAGCATCACTCTTGCTGAGATTGGGATAAAGTTGTTAACAGATTTTGCCACTTCTTTTGTCAATATAATGGCGACACCTAATTTAGGTTTGCCGTTATCTGTTGCAGAATAGTAAATGCGGTGTTTCCCGATATTTGCGGTTCCTGAACCTGGCCAACGCATTTCGCTTATTCCCAGAAGATTCATAAACACAAATGCAATCATATTATGAGTAATTTTGAAAATGTAATCTAGACAAAATTTTAAGATTATAAAATAGTATGCATTCTTGGCATTATTGGCTCCAAAAGACAGAAACATACAAAAGTTAGATGTTTGTGGATCTGATATTAGGACAATTAATTTTAAATTATACTATACTACAACTAAACTACATTTAATCATCCCCTACAATTGTCATCCATATACTTACTCTATACTTCAAAATCTCCAATAGTGAATTTATTTTTGAGCGTATTTGCAGCTGTGAGACAGGGACCTTCGGGGCTAGTTAATTGCTCCTAGATTTAATCAATAGTTACACGTTTTAGCGATACACAAAAATTAGCAACTATTCGAAAACCATACATTTATGTATAAAAATTTCTAATTTTTTAAATTAGTAAGAGACTATAAATTATTAATTTGTAAATTTTAGTAAATAGTGTGCTTTAGCTAATACATTTAAATATACTTAGGTCCAAAATAAACGGAAAAAATATAAGGGGTATTCATTATTTCGTTTTTACTCCCATTTTTTTACTGTTTTTTACCAAACTATAGTTTACTTTATTTAAATAAAAAATATCTTGCCAACAGGTCTCTGGAGTGGAGGGAGTATCGCCAGAAGTGACCAATCACGGCGCAGATTGTCAATCTGGCCGGTCAATTACAAACAGGTTTATTAACTGAGTTGTCATTTTCCTCCCAGCGGAAGATCGCTGCTGAATTGCAAAGACAAAGTGTTTAACGACTACGAGGAGACTAGCGTGAGCAGCGGCCGAGACCACTAGAGAGGCAAAAGCCTATGCAGCGACAAAACTAAACCGGGTAGATTTGTAATAATCTAGTCTTCACGGAGGCCAAAATCGAGATATAGGCAAGTAAAAAAGCAAACGGGCCTAGCCCATTGGTAAACTCCCTGTGCCACCATTTGAAATTATACTGTGAAGTGTAATACTTTAGTAGTTACGTCTGGCAGACACGACCTCAATATCAAAGAGGTGAGAATAGCAAGAGGATCCCACTCTAGTTCTGCCTAGAGTGTAAACTTCTATGGAAGGTTACTGGGTGGCACCCTGAAGCAGTGTTGGTAACGGACCAGACGGTTAAAAAATCAGCTTTCATCCAAGAGTTAGGACTCCAACACCTCCGGGAAAAATGGATCGTTCACGATCTCCGCTTGGTCGAAAGGCCTCTCTTAGCCTCAATGGTTACAGTGTAAGGAAACTCAACTATAACATCTACGATGCCCTAAAGGACGACGATGACCAAACCACAAACTACGAGATCTTCGATGAACTCTCCATCGAAGACGTAGTCGAAGAGAATTTTAAATGCCGCAAAAACAAGAAAATATGGACAAAAGATCGCACGGAGAGAAACCGCGGAAACGACAACTCCACAACTGACGGCGACGTACCCCTTGAAAAACGGACTACAGCGAAAAGGATGAGGCAAATGAACAGCGAGGGCGAAAAGTCCGAGCTGGAAACTCTAAAGGCACTATTAAAGGAGAAGGACGCTAAAATTACGGACCTAAAACAGAGAATTGAAGAATTTCAGGATACGATTGTAGCCTCAGAGAAGAAAAAAATAGGACACATCGACTCTAAGTTCGAAGAATTTAACAGCGAAAAAAAAACACCAAACAAAAGAAGACACTGGAAACAGCCTCAAAAGAGAGCCGAAAAGGGGATACTTAGGAAAATCAGGCCAGAAAGGCGTTAAAGCCGAAAATGAAAAGTTTACGAGAACAATCTCAAAGACAAAAACGATAACCACCAAGGAGACAACAAAAAAGCGGGTACAAGAAGACGAGCAAAACGTGCAAACTGTCAGAGATCACATCCGGTAAATTTCAGGGGATGCCCCAGATGTCCAACCTGGAATAAACAATAGCCACAAACACAACAAGACCCCAAAAAGGCCGCAACCAACATCAAGCGGACCTTTCTATGTACAGGCAGCAAAAGTACAAAACTCCGAGAACGCTATCTTAATCTCGAGACAACAACAAGATGGTCTAGTGAACTCACTCAAGGAAGTGGTCACTATAGGAGATCCACGAGGCGATTTTAGACATGCAAGTTAAAACTAAACTAAGGGAGCCTAACAGGGTATCAAACGGGATTAAAGGGATTAAAGTATTCTAAATTGTCGGTGGCCTTTCGAGGACTACAGAGACACCAGTGAACTTCACGTGGAGTGTGGTACAAGTACACACCATGTCCACGAAGACGAGAAACCTTCGATCCTAGAGCAGCCGTCGAAGATCATCCAGATACGAAGAATACCTCCGTGGATGCTACGGCCGTACGACTAACGACAGTAGCTGCGTTTATACTCTCAGTATGCGCGGGAATGCAATTGCTGCGCAATAGATAATAAAATTTATAATTATTAGTCATTCGTCATAGACCAATGCTTAATTCTAAACAGTAGTATAGTTTTCGAATAGTTTAAAGAATTCAAAAGTGCTTAAATCTAGCTATAGATATATGTTAAAAAGCAAAAATGTGATTTCTTTCGTGGAAATAAAAAGTGAAAGTTGTTGTTTTAAAACTCGATTAAATATTTCAAATATTTAAATATTTAAGTTTTGGAGAAATATTCTAGATTTCTAATTACAATAGAAAGAACTAAAACTATAAAGGAATGTTAATTTTTTTTAAATCAATGTCAAGAAAGCAGCTTTTCTAAGATATAGGGTGATCACATTTTGTGACAAAGGTGGTTATATCTAAAAGCTATTAACAAATTATTATAGGGAGCTATAAATAAATAATATTATATAGAGTCTAGAGATAGCAATGGCGTGAAAAGAATACGCAGACAGCCTTTTTAATGACGAAAGACCAATACAACCAACGCGCAAACTTCCTTCCGAAAACTTATCAGAGCCATCAATAATGCGAAGTGGAATAGAATATGCAGTTAGAACCACAAAGATGCATAAAGCAACAGGTCCAGATGAAATTAATATAGAAGCAATAAAACTACTAGACGAGGAGAATATCGAAATCTTGGTAAGGCTGTTCAATAGAAGTTACGATACTTGTTACATTCCGCGAGAATGGCTGCAGTCATCATTTGTCATGATCCCAAAAACAGCTAATGCCACAAAATTCAATGAACACCGCTTAATCAGTTTAATGAGTCACTTGTTGAAACTCTTCCTTAGGATATTACACTCAAGAATGTACAAGATACTAGAACTTAGCAGGTCAACACAATTCGGTTTTAAGGGAGGACTAGGAACAAGAGAGGCAATTTTATGTTTGAACACCTTAATACAAAACTGCTTAGATCAACGAAAAGATGTCTACCTCACCTTCATCGACTATGAGAAGGCATTTGACAATGTTAAACATTATATCATGATGGAACTACTACATAGGGCCAACATTGACCAGAAGGAGATCAGAATTATTCAGAATCTATACTGGAACCAAATGGCAAAGGTGAGGGTTGATCAAGACCAATATACGGATGAATTTGAAATCCGGAAAGGTGTCCGCCAAGGCTGCATACTCTCTCCGATGCTTTTTAATTTATATGTTGAAAATATATTTGCGGAAGCATTAGAAGATACGGAATTAGGCATTAAGGTGAACGGCATACCAATTAGCAACCTACGCTATGCGGATGACACAGTGATTATAACTGATAATTTGGAAGATCAGCAGTTATTACTTGATAGAATGAATAGCATAGGTAAAAAATATGGCCTCAAAATCAACATTTTGAAAACGAAATGTATGGTCATTAGCAGAAACCCTCCAGAAAACCCGATAATATGCATAGGTGACAATCGTATAAATCGCGTGAAAACTTTTAAATACCTTGGCACCACAATCAATGACCAATCGGATCCAAACACGAGATAAAAACCCGAATATAAATGGCAAGACAAGCTTTTGTGAAATTCAGACCGCTCCTATGTAATCAACACCTAAACTTCAAAATACGCTACAGAATGGTCAAGTGCTACCTATGGTCCATCTTGCTTTATGGCATGGAAACGTGGACTTTGAAAAAAACATCTATCAACAAACTTGAAGCATTTGAAATGTGGTCATTGAGAAGAATGATGCGCATACCTTGGGTGGATAGAGTTCGAAACGATGACGTCCTTAATAGAGCCGGCGTGGAAAGAGAACTCTTTGAATTAATTAAAAAACGCAAGATTGTTTACCTTGGGTACATATTGAGAGGAGCAAAATATGAAATACCACAGTTAATCCTACAACGGAAGATCGAAGGTAGGAGAGGAGCCGGCCGCAAACAATTATCCTGGTTAAGGAATATTAAAGAATGGACAGGAATACACAATACAGGTGAGCTGTGTCACGCCGCCAAGAACAGAATTCTAGTAATGAGATTGGTGTATGGCATGTTAAGAAGAAGAAGAAGAATCTTCTATAATACTGTATCGCATTAAGGATATATTTTTTTAAATCAAGCAGCTAGCATTTGATTTAAAATTATAATTCGCTTACTTTCCTCGTTAAAAGAAAACAAAGTTGTTTTGTGTTACACAGTGTACTTAAAAAGTTTAATGAAATGAAGAAGTAAATAAATTTTAATGAAAATTTATTTTTCACGAAATTTATTTCGCGTTTACTGACTATGAAAAGAAACTGATATATACCAACATATCAAACAACAAGTGCACAAAGATGTTCAGGAAGTAGAAAGGCAAAAGCAATTGACAGCAACAGATAAATTTAGAAAAGTAAAGGAGATCTTAAGTAATATCACAAAACAAAAACTTTAAGAAGACACATCATCTAAAAATAAACAATGGATCATACAAGAGATAAAAGAACTGAACAAGAATAAAACCGAACAACAGTACAAAAAATTAATAAAATAATCAAATAGAAAATTAAAGAAGCTAAGAAACTGTGGCTATCAGCAAAGTGTGAAGAAATAGAAAGGTTAGATAAACAACATGACAGTTTTAACATACACTGGAAACTCAAAGAGACATCTGGCATATACAAGAAGAAGGGTATCGAAAATATCATGGATAAAAATAACGAGGTAATAACGGAATGTGCAGATAAAATAAACAAATGGGAAAAATACATAAAAGAGCTATTCGATGACGACGAGAAAATTGAGGTCATTGAACCAAGAGGAAGAAATGGGCCAGCAATCACCAAAGATTAAATTGAAAAAGCGCTAAAACGAATAAAAAAATGAGAAGGCCAAAAGACCAGATGAAATACCTACAGAAATCTTAAGAATATTAACAAAAAATCATATGGGCACACTAATAGAATTATTTAATGACATTTATTATACGAGCGAGATTCAGAAAGAATGGTTAATATCAATATTCATTCCAATACCCAAAAAATCAAACGCAATGAAGTGTGAAGAGCACAGAACCATTAACTTGATATTCTAAAAATGTTCTTACAAATGATACACGAACATATCTATAAAAAGCTAGATGATAGAATAACTAAAAACCAATTGGTATTCAGATAAGGCTTTGGCACCAGAGAAGCATTATTTATTGTACAAACACTAATCTAATTAGAAAAAGCTTTTGACAAAGTACAACACCAACGAATGCCAAAAATACTGCAGAATACAGAATTAGATGACGATGACGTGGAAATCATTGCCAATCTATACCGATATCAGAAAGCCATAATACGAATAGAACAGCAAAAATCGAAAGAAATACTTATAAATCGTGGAGTAAGACAGGGATGTGTGCTTTCCCCTTTACTGTTTAATATGTATTTAGAATTTGTGTATAAATTTATAGATGTTAATTTGGTATAGTCAGTTTTCTAATAAAATTTTATATTTGACTTGTACATGGTTAATTAAAACGTGGCTTTATTATCTTAACTTTGAAACATCCTGTGCAATAATTCCGTTTGCGAATTTTAGTAAAACCTTATTTTTCGGTTGCAACCATGTATTCTAAACATTATGTTTTTTGCTTCATGTCGAAATATGCCTTGGTTTATTTTTTATAGCCAAATGAATTTGCTACTCACAATTTAGGACTTTTTTAATTTTGATTATTTTGGAGTTATTTTGTAATACGACTGTTATCATTATGTCATATTGACACTCACATTTTGTTTACCTATGATTGATCATGGTTCTTAATCACGAAGATTGTTCAGAAGCCGTTGCTCTGGATAAAGATGGGAGAAATTATGAATATGTGGCTAGAGTACTGCACACTCATCGCTCTACCATGCAAAGGGTAGTGGAACGTTTTATACGAACTGGAACAAACAAGTGTAAAGCGGGAAGTGACAGGAAGCGCAAAACCACCGCTTTAGATGATCATTTTATACGTGTCAACGCTTTACGGAATCGTCATTTAACAGCGGTGCAAACAAGAAATCAGCTTCAAGAGGTTCGAGGCAGTAATGTAAGTATATTTACAGTTCGTCAAAAATTACATGAATTTAGTTTGCAAAGTTACAGACAGCAACTGGGCCCAAATTACTTCCACGGCACAGAGCGGCTAAAATATAATTTTCCAGGGAACACTTACATTGGAATTTAGGACAATACAGTAATGTTCCTTTTACGTATGAGGCGAGATACTGTCTTTACTTTTCAGATGAAAGAGAACGAGTATGGCGTACAACTGGAGAGAGATTTTCAAAGTGCGCTTTCAGTCACCGCGTTAGCTTTGAAGGGAGTTCGGTGATGGTATGGGCAGAAATGTCCCGAGAGGAGTACACTGAATTGATATTTATTGAGGGTTCGTTGACTGCACACTGGTATATTGAGGAAATTTTAGCGAATCGCCTAGTACCCTTTTCTCAATATATAAGCGATAATTTTCTATTATTGCAAGATAATGCGCGACCTCACCCTGCAATGAGAAGAGAAGATAGAAGAGAAGAGAGAATGTTACATGAGCAGTGCCTAGAACTAGAAGAAATTGAGAAAAAATATGACTTTTTTAACATGCATAAAAGAATTAGAGAATTAACAGGAATGACAAAAACACTTCAAACTAGGCAACTAAGAGATGAAAGGGGTGCACTTATAACAGATATAAAACAAAAAATGCAGAGATGGACACAATATATAGCACAACTTTTTGAAGACAAAGAGAGAACAGAAGCACCAAAAGAATTTAAGGATGATACTGTGCCTGGCATTATACGAGAAGAAATTGAATATGCAATGAAACAAGCTAAAGGTGGTAAATCTCCCGGGCCTGATGAAGTTCCTATCGAATTACTTAAAATTGTGAATACTGAATCTATTGATCTTCTTTTGGATCTATTCAATACCATATATAGAACAGGTATAATACCTAAAGAATGGCTCCAATCAACATTCACACTGCTTCCCAAAAAATCCAATGCAAAGGAGTGCAATGAACATCGCACCAAAGCCTTAATGAGTCATGTCTTGAAATTGTTTTTAAAAATAATTCACAATAGAATACATAAGAAATTAGATGAAGGCATAAGTAATACACAAATGGGATTTAGGAAAGGACTGGGAACACGAGGTGCACTGTTTGCATTAAGTGTTCTTTCGCAGAGATGCTTAGATATTAGTCATGAAGTATATGCCTGTTTCATTGATTTTGAGAAGGCATTTGACAGAGTACAGCATAATCGACTTAAAGAAATTTTATTAAATAAAAACATAGACAGTAGAGACATTAGAATCATCTGTAACCTCTATTGGAATCAAACAGCAAAAGTGAAAGTTGAAAACGAACTGACCAAGGATATCCAGATTCGCCGTGGGGTCCGCCAAATGTGTATTTTATCACCCTTGTTATTCAATTTATACAGTGAAGCCATCTCAGAATTAGCGCTTGCCGAGATCAGTAAGGGGCCTTATAATAAACGGTGAGTCATTTAATAACATAAGATATGCTGACGACATCGTCCTTCTGGCAGGAACACTAGAAGAACTGCAACACCTTGCTGAACAACTAAATATTTATTGCAACGATTATGGACTAAAAATTATTTTGAAGAAAACCAAGTTCATGGTATTTACAAAAGCACAAAACATCAAAGTTAAGCTAGTACTAGATAATACAGAAATTGAACAAATATCTTCGTACAAATACCTTGAAGCATGGATCACAGAAGATACTGATCAGACAAAAGAAATAAGATGCCGCATTGAAATTGCGCGGTCAACTTTTAATAGACTGAGAAAACTTTTTTGTAATCGCGATATCAATATATTGCTCCGGATAAGAATGCTTCGATGTTATATTTTCTCTACCATTCTGTATGGAGTTGAAGCTTGGACACTTAAAAAATCCAACATTAAAAACCTAGAAGCATTCGAAATGTGGTGTTACCGACGCATTTTGAAAATATCATGGATGGATCGCAAAACAAACGAACAAGTTCTCGAACAACTAGGAAAACAATGCGAAGTTTTAAATTCCATAAAAATCAGGAAATTGGAATACTTGGGGCACATCATGAGAGGTGAAAAGTACGAACTACTAACGAATATAATGCAGGGTAAAATCAAAGGTAGAAGAAGCGTAGGAAGACGTAAAATCTCGTGGCTACGCAATCTCCGTGAATGGTTTGGATGCAGTTCAATTGAACTATTCAGGCGAGTAACCAATAAAATTATAATTGCCAGAATGATTTCCAATTTCCGATAGGAGTGGAACTTGAAGAAGAAGAAGAAGGTATTATTGAAATAAACTGGCCAGCGTGTTCGCCAGATCTGAACCCAACAGAGTACGTTTATGACATGCTTGGCACAACTATTAGAGGTCGCACCAGCCTCTATTAACGAACTTTGCTTGGCTTAGAAGAGGAATGGCAAAACATCCAGCAAAATGATAAAAATTTATAAATTTTTACACAGTGCGCTAAAAAAATTATTAAAATAGAGCTAAAAATAACTGAAATACTTTGAATTTGATCAAAATTTTCTTTGTTGCGTTTTTTTGCATCTGAGTATAGTATTGGAAAAATAAGAAAACATAAACAAATTTTCATCAAAATTAGAAAGTTCCTATTTGGGCCATATTAAGGGACGTAAGTGCCATGAACTGCTGTAAGTGATCCTGTAAGAGAAAATACAAAGACGGAGAAGCCGAACTAAAAGATAAGCACTGCCTAAAGACTCTAATATCGTGGTTCAACTACAGTTCTACAGAACTCTTTAGAGCTGAGAAAAAGAAGATAATATTTAACTTAAGGACCCAATAATCAATTTTAAAACAACAACTTTAGAGCTGTAAACTACCAAACTAATAAAATCAAGAATATGATGTTGTTTGTACAACTTGAAAGTGTGTTAAACATTTAAAATATGTAATTTATCTACGAAAAAAATTAAATATAAATATACATTTACTTACATCAACATCTGTGATCATTTCTTTCGTCGATACAGTGGTATCGATTCTTCTGATGGATCCTTCATGAATATTAACGTCGAGTTTAAGTATTTGGTATCTTCTTAACAAAAATACAATTGGTATGGGAAGAATGCCTGCTAAGATCATCGATATTGCCACGGACATGACCCATGGTGGATAAGGCGTTGGTTTTACATCTCCCTAAAATAAGTTTATTGTATTATGACATTATATAAGCAGCACAATACAAAAATTAATTAATGTAATGAACAAGCTAATTTTGACGTGCCCCATATAACAGTTGCATCTCTCGAAACAATAATGTGTGTTCGAGATTGAGGCGATCATACAAGCGAGAATAGTGGTGGACTATTTCAGAGATTATTCAAGTAAATAACGAATTCTATATATATATATATATATATATATATATATATATATATATATATATATATATATATATATATATATATATTGTTACGATTTTAAATGTTATGGCATATAGAACTGTAAATATTTTATGACTAATTCTTTTTTTATTGATTCTCGTAATTTGTAGGTCAAAATATACCTGAGCTTCGCTACCAGTTGTTTACAGAAATCTCTAGACACTAATTTTAGTGAGTCATCCACGTCTCGAGGTTGAAAAACGAGTCGAGCGCCTTCACCAAAATACGAGATTATTCAGGAAGTTTGCCGAAAGTTCCAGATGACAACAGTTGTGTATATAAATGAAAGATTTTTGTATTTGAGTCAGTCATAAGAAGATCGGTAAACGCGATATTTAAATGTAACGAAACGTGAAATAAATACATTTGTAAAGTTATTTAATAAATTAGTAATTAGCTATCGTGAGTTTTAATAAATTAGATTATAGACAATAAATAGAATAAAGACAAATAAATTAGAACAATATAAATAAACCTAACAGTGGTGCAGAAATGGGGTTGTAGATAAATTTAATTTGAATTTTTGAAAAGAAGTGAAATTGGTGAACGATGGCTACGATTTACGAGCTCACAGTTACGAATCTAAGAAGGCATCTTGAGGATAGAGAATTAGCTTCTATGGGAAAAAAGGCTGAGTTAGTCCAACGACTAAAGAATGCTTTGGAGGAAGAGGGTTTAGATCCGGAAACTTATATATTTGAAGATGCTGTCATCGCGTCAATTTCAAAATTAGAGAATAAAGTTTCTGGTGACATCGCATCATTAGAGAACAGAGTTCATGGCGATATTTCGAAAGTTTCCTCTGATGTAGCCAAAGTTTGCGGCGACATCGCCTCTTTAGAAGACAAAGTGTCTAACGAGATTTCTTCTCTAGAAAGCAAAGTCTCTGCTAACATCTCCTTGGAAATCTCTAAAGTCACTTCGGAGATGTCTGCTCTCGACGATAGAGTGTCTTCATTAAAAAACCAAGTTGCTGCCGATATGATGGCCTTCGAAGAGAAGATATGGAAAGAGTTGGAAAGGAAGATTGAGGGAACAGGAACAACAGAGAGAGTAAACAATCCAATTACCATAGAGACAAAAGAAGACGAGACGAAATGTAAGTTGGAAACACGACCGAAATGTGAAGGAAGTGGAAGTTCCGTTCATGTCAAAGTCCCAACTTTCGACGGAAAATCATCATGGAACAACTACATGAAACAGTTCGAATCAGCTGCAAGAGCGAATGGATGGTCTGAAAAAGAAAAGGCTGTAAACCTGACTATCGCTCTTCGAGGAGATGCCTTAGATGTGCTCCAGACCATAGCCGTAGAGGAGACGGATGATTTCGAACAACTGAAGAAGAGGTTAAATATGCGATATGGCCACGAACACTTGGAGCATGTATATCAGTCGCAGCTCAAAAATCGAAGACAAAAGAAAGATGAGGCTCTTCAAGAATATGAAGTAGATATCGCCAGATTAGTGCGATATGCTTATCCAACAGCTCCCGAAGACATGATGGAAAAGTTGGCCGTTCAAACGTTTATTGATGGTCTTCGTGATCATGAGATGCAAAGAACACTACGATTAGCTCGTCACAAGACGCTGGTTGATGTCTTATCCGCCGCTCTTGAATACGAGTCAGCCACGCAGGCCTCTGGCGGGTACAGTAAAGTTAGGACTGTAAAAGAGGAAGGAGATGAAGATAAACTTGACCAGCTCGTTAATATGATAAAAAGCATCACATACAAGAAACCGAAGACCATAAGATGCTGGAATTGTGGCGAAATAGGACACGTACGAAGTTCTTGTAAGCATCCTAGGTACGACGCAAATCAAGAAACTCACCATCAGGAAAACTAGAACGGGTCGGCCTTAGGGGGGCAGCTTCGACCCAGAACTTTTCCAAAGACCCTCTCATACTGATAGCTTCTTTGAAATGTCGTGAAGATAGTGTATATGTAGATGGAGAACTAAATGGTAAAAAGGATACGTTGTTGGTGGATACCGGAGCGACAAGAACCATTATTCGCCCGACAGTTATAAACAGCCGTAAGAAACTGTTACCAACGAGGTTGCGACTTCGTACCGCTACAGGTGAAAATGCCAACATTCACGGAGAAATCCAGATACAATTAGGAATTGGAGCAGAAAAGTTCGTCCATACTGTTATAGTTGCTGACATCGAAGAGGATGTTATATTAGGAATGGACGTAATGAATACGCATGGATTCCAATTGGATTTTAAGAATAAGGTAATCAAAGTTGGTAACGAGGAGGTATTTCTCCGTCCACATGATGACAACACTATGCAAGCAGCCGTTAAAGAAGATACAGTCGTGCCTGCGAGAAGTGAAACGATAATAGTATCGCGGCTACAGGGAATTGTGGACGAAGGAACACCTGTTATGATGGAGCCTTGGAATCATGACGACGAAGTTGGCCGTGGAATCATAATTGGAAAAGAATTAGTGACTTCGGCTAAAGAAATTCCTGTGAGACTTATTAATGTCAATGACTACCCAGTGACCATCAAGAAAGAGACAAAAGTAGGAACTTGTGTACCTGTCACATCCATAATCCGTCAGACGACAACGTCTGATAATTCCAACGATAAATTTGATCAAATGGTTGCGGTTGCTGGACAGTCTCTGAATCAGATTGAGGAAAGGAAATTAAGGGAATTTCTTCGGCAGTATCGTGATATTTTCGTACCGAAAGGAGGAAAGACGGGAAGAACTACCGTTGTTAAGCATAAAATTGATACTGGTAATGCTAAGCCAATTCGTCAAACAGCTCGACGATTACCACAGGCGAAAAGAGAGGAAGCTGAAACGATTGTTCAGGAAATGAAGAAAGACGGGGTGATAGAACCTTCTACGAGCCCATGGGTCTCTCCGGTGGTCCTGGTTAAGAAGAAAGACGGAACAACGAGGTTCTGTGTGGATTACCGTTTGCTGAACAACGTTACCAAGAAAGATAGTTATCCTCTGCCTCGGATCGATGACACATTAGACACATTGGCTGGAAGTAAATTATTTTCTACTTTGGATTTGAAGTCTGGATACTGGCAGGTAGAAATGGACCCGGTAGATAAAGAAAAGACAGCCTTCACCACAGGATCTGGATTATGGCAATTCAACGTTATGCCATTTGGACTTTGTAACGCTCCTGCGACATTTGAGAGACTTATGGAAAATGTGTTGAGAGGGTTATCTTGGAAAACGTGCCTAGTTTATCTAGACGACATAATCGTCTTGGGGGAGACATTTGAGGACCATCTGAAGAATTTAGAAAACGTTTTTAATCGACTTAAAGCTGCCCAATTGATGTTAAACCCCAAGAAGTGCCAGCTATTTCAAGGTAAAGTCAATTATCTGGGTCATATAGTCAGTAAAGAAGGAGTGGCCGTGGATAAGGGAAAAATCGATTCCATTAAGGAATGGCCAAAACCAACTGACAAACATCAAGTGAGAAGTTTTCTTGGACCATGTACTTATTACCGGAGGTTTATTAAGAAGTTTGCAGATATCGCTAAACCATTAACGCGACTTACAGAGGAAGCAAGAGAATACCGCTGGGATGTAGACTGCCAAAATGTCTTTGAGACCTTAAAAAAGCATTTAATCACAGCACCGATTTTAGGGTATCCACTGCCAGAAGGAGAGTTCATCTTAGATACAGATGCAAGTAATGTGGGAATTGGAGGAGTGCTGTCCCAGATTCAGGGAGGACAGGAAAGAGTCCTTGGATATTTCAGTAAAGTTCTCTCAAAACCTGAGCGGAATTATTGCGTCACGAGAAGAGAACTTCTGGCAGTGGTGAAATCAGTAGAGCACTTCTATCAATACCTCTATGGAAGGAAGTTTTTAATCCGAACCGACCATGCCGCCCTTAAGTGGTTGATGCAGTTTAAGAATCCAGAGGGTCAGATAGCCAGGTGGATCGAACGACTCCAAGAATATGATTTTAAGATTGAGCACCGGGCCGAAGTTAGCCACCGAAACGCTGATTCTCTTTCCAGAAGGCCATGGCCAGCAGAGTGTTCTCACTGCAACAAAACGGAATCCAAGGAAGCAGCAGTGCTAAGAACGACGGTGGTCCACGACGACTGGACGCCTACCAAGATCAGGGAAGAACAAGAGAGAGATCCAGTTATACAGAAAATCCGAAAATGGAAAGAAGAAAACCGTCGACCACCTTGGCAAGAAATATCGAACCTAGGCTCAATAGTTAAGACGTATTGGGCCCAGTGGGACTCATTTATCATGGAAGATGGCTTGCTCAAACGAGTCCTGGAAAATGATGACAATTCAGAGAAGAGAAGACAGTTGGTGATTCCAAAGAGCAGAATAGCCGAAGTACTTCGTCAGTTACACGACAGTCCATCAGGAGGGCATTTTGGTGTGAAAAAGACCCTTCAGCGAATTCGGGAACGGTTTTATTGGATGAACAGTTACGACGATGTAAAAGACTGGTGTAAGAAATGTACTATTTGTGCTACGAGTAACGGGCCTTATCGAAAAAGGAGAGCTCCTATGAGACAATATAATGTTGGAAGCCCGTTTGAAAGAATAGCTTTGGACATTGCTGGGCCATTTCCAGAAAGTGATAATGGAGGCAAGTACATGTTGGTAGTAATGGATTACTTCACTAAGTGGGTCGAGATTTACGCACTTCCAGACCAGAAGGCCGCCACCGTTGCAGATAAGTTGATCCAAGAATATATCAGCCGATTTGGAGTGCCTTTGGAGATCCATAGTGACCAAGGCAGGAACTTCGAAAGCGATTTATTCCAAGGAATATGTGATAGACTAGGTATGAAGAAAACAAGAACTACGGCTTATCATCCGCAATCGGATGGTATGGTAGAACGAATGAATAGAACAGTTGGCAAGTATTTGACAAAGATGGTATCCGATCATCAGCGAGACTGGGACCAATATCTTCCGTTCTTCACAATGGCCTACAGATCTGCTGTTAATGAATCAACAGGCCAGACACCAGCCAGAGTCCTATTCGGACGCGAGATGCGACTACCTTGTGATCTAGAGTTTGGGTGTCGACCTGGAGAAGATGTAGCAGGTGAAGATTATGTGATCGAATTACGAAGAAGAATGGACGATGTACACGAGTTGGTCCGTTCCCATCTCCAAATCGCTAGTGACCGAATGAAGAAAGGGTACGATACACAAGCCGAAAAGGGGTGTTTTAAGAAGAACGATAAAGTCTGGCTTTATAACCCCAAAAAGCGAAAAGGTTGTTCCCCCAAATTGCAGCAGTTTTGGGAAGGTCCATACCTCATTATGGAGAAGATCAATGATGTTATTTACCGAATAAGCAAGATTCCGAGAGGAAAGCCGATGATAGTACACCATAACCGGTTGGCGTCTTTCGAGGGTGACCACGACGTAGATGAAGAAGTGGAAGTAAACCAAGTCCAAGATGTGTCTGACCTCACGTTTGAGGAATTCATGGGTGCCTATGGAGGTACCGGTAAAGCAAGACATGGTGTTACCACTGAAGAAAGGCAAGATCTACTCTCGCTTCCCGATGACTACTCACTGGCCCTTACCATCCCGGCCAGTATCAAAGATGCACCAGGGTTGGCATCCGTTTTTCGAAGGAAGTTTGGTCGAGTTGCAGAACTTCAATGCCAAGTGCCAGCTCCTGGTAAAACCTTGAAACTTCAAGATGCATCACGTTACCTTTTCTACCTGGTAACAAAAGACACTGCCCGTGACCAACCTACCTACCGAGATGTATGGGAAGCCTTACTTCAGTTGAGAGAGCACGTACTAGAGTCCGACGTGCAAAAGTTAGCCATGCCAAAGTTGGAGTGCCGCCAATTAGATTGGAGGGTTATACGAAACATGGTGGAGGAAATCTTTAAAGACACCGAAGTCCAGGTGTTAGTCTGTTGCAATCCGCATAGTTACTGCTGCGGAGAGAAAACCGTCCCTTGTCATTTCTATACAACTGGAAGTTGTAAAAGAGGGTCCAGTTGCCGATATCAGCATGTCGTTCAAGTTCCAGTCCCGACAAGGTTCCAGGAGGAACCATCTTTTAAGAGGGGGGCAATGTTACGATTTTAAATGTTATGGCATATAGAACTGTAAATATTTTATGACTAATTCTTTTTTTATTGATTCTCGTAATTTGTAGGTCAAAATATACCTGAGCTTCGCTACCAGTTGTTTACAGAAATCTCTAGACACTAATTTTAGTGAGTCATCCACGTCTCGAGGTTGAAAAACGAGTCGAGCGCCTTCACCAAAATACGAGATTATTCAGGAAGTTTGCCGAAAGTTCCAGATGACAACAGTTGTGTATATAAATGAAAGATTTTTGTATTTGAGTCAGTCATAAGAAGATCGGTAAACGCGATATTTAAATGTAACGAAACGTGAAATAAATACATTTGTAAAGTTATTTAATAAATTAGTAATTAGCTATCGTGAGTTTTAATAAATTAGATTATAGACAATAAATAGAATAAAGACAAATAAATTAGAACAATATAAATAAACCTAACAATATATATATATATATATATATATATATATATATATATATATATATATATATATATATAGACCAACAAGAAGAAATTTTGAGAAAAACAATGAAAACATAAATGAATCCATAAAGTTAACCTGTAACTATAAAAAATTTGGAAAATATCATCATCTACTCCTCACCATTTCGGAATATTTTTATTATAATTATTATAGCTTTTGTGAAAGTAAAAGATCTTACCTCCTCCTTACTCCACGCTTGATACTTCGGACTTTCGATAAACATTTGTACAATCGATGAGCCTAAAATAAGTACCATTATGACGGGCGCCAAATATCTCCAAGTTATCTGCCAATAAAGTCCAGGTTTTACTCCAGTCATTTCAAAAATATCTTTCGTAAACTTTTCGTGTCCGTATACGTAAGTCACAGCCATCATTTCCAAAAATGCTACCACCACCAGACCAATAGTTCCTGCAAAAGAATCGAAGAGACTGAGCCAGTATTCTCCTGCACCTGTTGTGAAGATTAGTCCAACGAAGAAACAAACCAGACAAAGAGCAGCTGAAATAATAAAAGTTTCGTTAGAATATGCATACAAGAACTATATTTTTTTTTAATATAATTTTTTTTATTTCATTAGTAACGCTATTGACACAAATTGTAATTGCGCTAGGCGATGAAATAAGCCTTCCTTCTGTTGAATGGTTAATCTTTATAACACCGACAACTTGAAAAAAAAATACACACTTAATTGATTTCTTTAAAAAAAAATTTAAACAAAATAAAATCATCTAAAACACTTTAAGTCCTTTTTATTAGACAGGTGAAGATTTGAAAGGCGGCGTCATGCTGGAGATAGTAAGACTCGCCGCACTAAGATACCCGCAGGTTTTTCTGAGATTGCTGCTAAACAAACTGCTTAAACAATAGCAGTTTTCAACTCAATTAAAAGACGCTTAGGTTATTTTTACTCCGAAATCTGAAGCGGACGAGGAAGAGGTACGCTTTCAGCCAATTTGCCTTCTTAGTTTGGTAGTTAAATTGTTCGAACAGCTTATGAAAGGCCACTTTGATCTAGAGCTAAAAGAAAAGCATGCACTGAGCGACCACCAATATGTTTTTAGGGCTAAAATGTCGACCATAGATGCCGTCACAGAAGTAACTTCTTTAGTCACGCTTGATACAAAGTGATGGGTTACTCTCATCCTGCTTGACGTCAAGGACGTCTTTAACACGGCATCATGGGAAAAAATCATGTCAAGACTAAGAGAATTGGGTGTCAGTGATAACTGGTCAACGTGGTTGGCAGATACTTTATTGTCCATAAGGGAAAAAGATACCAGCATCAGGTTGACATAGGTACTTGGTCCTACCTTGTGGAATGTCCTGTAGTCCTACGTGATGCTAAGGTTACAGCTGCGGGATGCACTCTTATAGCTTATGCCGATGATCTCGCACTAGTTGCGGAGGCGAATCAGAAAACGGACAAGGTTAATGCAGCTAATACAGCCCTACGTCGTATTAGTAGGTGGATTAAAGAGAACGATTTAAAGCTAATACTTCAGAATATTGAGGTGGTAGTTTTCAAAAGAAGCCGAGACAAATCCTCTCTTTACTTTATAGTGGAATAGATAGAGGTTACAACGATTAAATCGGTTAAGTATACCAGAGTCTAGTTGTCGGAAGGACTGAGGTTTGATGTACACATTTAAAAGATGGTGTAAAAAATCATTGAGAGAATATGTCTTAGTCCAATAATAGTATTTACATGATACATACCTGTAACATATATTTTGCTGATCCTCTTAAACAACTCTATATCAAAAACCGTACACAACATTCCTTCCATCATTCCAATTTGAGATCCGATACCAAGAGCCAACAGCATCATGAAGAAAATGATTGCCCAAAATGGAGCTCCTGGTAACTCAACAATTGCTTGCGTAAATACTATGAAAGCAAGACCTGTTCCTTCTGCAGCCTAAAACGTAATAAGGTGAATATAAATTATTAAGCTATTTAAATTAAATAAGCAATTAAATGGTTTTTTCCGCAAATCACCAGGAAATTTTGACATTCCTGTCAAAATTTCTTGAAGAAAAAGTCAGGACTTCCTTACTGTAAGGAAATGATATTTCCGTACAGTTGTTAGTGTTCTACATAAATGATAGAAAACACATTGCTTATAAGGAATTAATTTATATTTTGAAAACATCAAGTCATTGCTGAATACATTTTTAAGATCAATTTGTTATATTTACAGTAATATGACAGTTAGTACAATTATTGAACATTGGAGGAACACTCTTAGAACTATGAGAAACATTTTGGACAACATGCAGGGTGGAAGTGTCATTTTGTTGAATATTTTGTACTGTGAAAATTTTATTTGCCACCTCAACCTTATTGTTAAGCGATTCTTCGATATATCCTTCAGCAACGTTTGATGACTTCCATCCGCCATGTCTTTTTAAACTAGTTATGTCGGCACCAGAGTCAACCAATATTGTTGCAGAAGACCGACGAAAGCAGTGACCAGTATATTCTGTCGGATTTACCAAGTTCAAATAAGTAGCAATTATTTTGGGCATTTTTCTAAATTGATGAATTCCTACCACTTGTCTACAACCCTTTCCGCTTTGATATTTAAAGAAAAATCGGTCACTGTTCATATTTTCTGGTCTTAACGAAACATACTTTCGATAAACATTCAAGTAGATCTGATTAATTACAAATGATCTTGGTTTGTTGGTTTTCGAATCAGGTATGCCGATTAAAAGCTTAGATTCTAAGTCTTCTATATCGTGTACAGTCATTCGGACTAACTCATCCATTCTACAGGCCCCAGAAATACCAAATATTACAGCCACCTAAAAAATAAATAAAGTTATAATCTAAATAGAAATTAAAACCTTGTAAATTACCTTAATCATTAAATTTTCTTTATCTGGAGCTTCCTGGATAAATTTTTCAATTTCTTCCTTCGTTAAAATCTTAGATCTCTTTGCCCTATAACCTTGAGCTTGCCATTTCAATAAAGAACGAAGTTTTGAGTATGTAGATATATCTACATTGTGTTTAAGTGCAAGGGTTGACTTCAGCATTGAATAATTGGCCCATAATGTTGAAGATTTCATCTTTAAACAAAGGTCTAGGAAGTATGCCATTACAACATTTTCTGAGAAAGAACTCGTATTTTTACTCATGCGATAATCCATAAAACGTCTGTATGCATTTTCGTACTTTTCTCTTGATTTCTTTGGCAATAATTCTAATGAAGCAGTATTCACTACCTCAACCAGCTCTGGAGGAGTCCCAGGAATGGAAATTTCATCATCACTTATCATTCTACTTTCGAGAACACCAGCAATTAAATTTATAAGCGTCAAGTTTAACAATTCAACCTCAATACGTTTCCATAGTAACCCAAGTAATTTTATTAGGAATTTCAAACCACCATTTATTTGGGAATAAAATTATCGCGTTTTTTTTTAAATCAATCAAACAACCCCCTCTGTGGCTCAGTGGTAAGAGCGCCTGCCTTTAAATCTAAAGGTCGTGAGTTCGAATCCCACCTGGGTGGAAATTTTCGTTTATTAAAAAAAAAAAAAAATTAATAAATGAAAATAATTTCTATCCTTGTGTGATCGGTACACACCGGAGGGGCCGCAGACGTTCGGATACAATTAGCGTCTCTTAGCAAAGACAATGACGTCGACTTTGCTAAGTATCAAGACAATTACTCTACACACACACACACTACACCTCAAATTGTAAGATTGGCGAATGGATTTAGTGTCCGCAGTCATTTAAACACAAACAAACAACAACAAATCAATCAATATCTGTCGAATTTTAAACGATTTGCGGAAAAATAGTATGTTTACCTCGTAGGAAAAGCCACATTCCTGGACTCTGTGTTGCTAAGTCTCGGCTTGCGCCTCGACTTAGCAATCTTCACAGTCTTCCAGGAATGTTAAGCTTTTCCTACCCGGTAAACAATGTACTATTTCTGTATAATATAAATGGTTTTTTATACTTCTACAAAAAGATCGGTTGTAATATAATCAAAGATAGAAGTTGCATATTAATTAATGCACAGTAGGATGGGGGGTCGTTGAAACAGTAAACGAGAGAGTGACTTCGTTTCGGTATTGTTAACGGAAAAAGCAAATAGGGTTGAATAATATCTTATAGGTAGGCAAGTATAGTACGAGTATTCGTGATCGGTATTGTTACTGTAAAGGTAGACTGAACTTCGATTTAGTTACGTACAACACAAAATTTCAGGTAATTGTACTTATCAAAACATATAAGGTAATAATAGACGATAGGTATGACAACGTTTATCATAGCCAGGTATAACGGTAATCAGGCTCGGTAGACTCTGTTTGGATAGGTAAAAGTGGAGTTTGTTACTGTAACTAATAAGAAAAAGTGCAATAGGGAGTTGAATAAACAGCACCTCTTGATGATTATCCTACAGCATTTACAATAGAGGGAGTTTTAGGAGAGGGTCTTACCCCGGAGGACAATTCCTTTGGTTTTCTAAAAATAGTTATTAAAAAGATACTTACAGCATCTAACTCTCTGGATAACGAACATTCTGTTAAATTTAAGTCTTCGGCATGAATTAAGGCGTGTTGATAAGCTGCATCAGATACTGAACCTGCCAAAGATTTTCCTAAGTGTCCATGTGCCATTAATAAATTTTTGTGGCTAAAATGACAAGAATATATTAGTATATTGTGTTATCATATTGTTTTTTCATTAAAAATGACAAATTAAAGAGGCTTAAAAGGTTGAGTGCCATGAGAGTCAAATACGGACTCACACATAAAAGTTATATACGGGCTGTGTGATGCCGACGTGGACTCATACACTAGGTCATCAGAAAATGTGTGTGCATCGGCAGCTTCTCGAACTCGTTTAAAATACACGGGGACATTTCGAGCCCGGCAAGACGGTCTAGACAGCATACTTGGCCTGTGCTTCTGAGATGTCAACGAGGACTCACATGGCCCATAATATTTATAAGTAACACTTGCATAATTATATATATTTTTTATATATTCATAATAGAAACACATTTAAGGCAAAATAAGCCAGTACCTTCTGCTCGATTACATATACAGGCAAAATAATAACAAAAATTGCAAAACACATAAAAAAGAAAGGAATTACACCAGCTTTCCGAACAAATAACAACTTTGGCAAATATATTAAAAATAACAAGAGCCAAAATAAAAAACACTTAAATAGTGGTGTGTACAAACTTCAATGTGGCGACTGCCCAAAAACTTACATCGGTCAAACTGGTAGAAACTTTGATAAACGAATAGCAGAACATAAAAGGGCTCTCAAGAATAGAAAAACAGATTTGACATACGCACTTTCTCTTCTAGATCATAATCATTCTTTTAATGACAAATTTAAAATTCTTCACATTTAAAATAAAGGCCTTAAGCTATCTTTGTTAGAATCTATGGAAATCAACAAATTAAAAAACACAGATATAATTCTGAATGACCAACTTGAAACAAACAGTTCTCCCCTCCTCAACCTATTTTATTAGAGACTTTAAATTTGTAAACCCAAGCCAAAAATAGATCACTTGAGAAAGGCTATCAGCCGAAACAGCTGTAGTGATAAGATTTAAAATAAATTTTGTGGAAGTTTGAAAACAAAGTTTTCAGTGTTTTATTGTTACATAAAATTAATTGCCATCAAGTAACGGTCGAATCCATCAATTAGCTAAATTCAATGCTAGTTATTAGAAATAATAGGAAAGATACTAGTGAGTAGATACCTAATTTTAAGTTTTCATTAGTAATTTAAGTTAGAAACAAATTGATAATTGGTCTTACTGACCAGATTTTAATGTAAGTACACTGCAGTGTCTTTAGTAAAAAAAAACCTGGAGTGAATATTCCTGGGACGAATAATTATTTCAAAACCAAAATATTGGTTTTGATTTATTATAAAAAAAAAGGTTATAAAAACATTAAATGACGTTTGTTAAATGTCATTTTATGATATTTTATATTATGTAATTATTAGTTTGTGATTACAATCGGTTTATGGGAGGCGTCGACAGATTCAATCAGATGCTTTCTTGCTACGATGATCTCTTGCGAAGATGATATCTTGCAAATACAGAAAATGGTGGGTGAAACTATTGTACTACATCCCAAATCCAGGAGTAAACAGTTATATATTATATAATCTTGGAATAAAAAGAAATTCAGGCAAGCCTATGTCACATTTCCCATACCGCAGCTTTTTTGCCAATGTGCTCATAAATAATTTTTCGAGAAGAAAGCGTCCTGTAGCGACAACATTTCGTAAAATAGACAAGATTAAAGGACGAAAGGTGTCTACTGATCCTGTAGTTAGATGTTCGATGGTTGGTGAACATTTATTTGTAAAAGGTACCACTCGGTGATGTGCTGTATGCACAAAGAAGAAGTCAAAGCAAGGAAGAAAAAGCCAAATCTTACATGATATGAGCAAAAATTGTGATGTTGCCTTTTGTTTGGAATGTTTTACACATTTCCATTAAATTTGTAATTGTCTCTTTTAATAATTGTCTTTAGAATAAAATCTTGTTTAAAGTGGTTTTTTATTTAGTAACACAATTTCCTTACCAAATTAAACAAGCGGTTGATTTTCAACTAGTGAAATTTTCAAAGTCGTTGGGACAGCAATGGTCCTTTGCTTTTGCAAAAAAATTAAACGATAAATTGTTTACGGAATTTTTCTCCAGAGTTTTTAAGAAACTGTACTACCTCTATTTTTCTTTAAAAAGTTAATATTTTAATACATACATCGTAATATTATGTTAGATTTTTCCCGGGTTTACGCAAACGATATTTTTAATCCCTTGATTATTCGATTTATTGATTCGGTTTATTTTTATATATGATTATTCAGTAAAGCTTCATTTCGAATTCAAAGAAATGGTATAAATAAATATAATGCATGTTTAACTAAATCCTTTAGGTTAACATTATTGTTTTATAAATAGAAGCTTCTAGATTGAGTATAATAATGTCAACATGTAGGAAAATATTTACATGAACTGAGCGTGTTTTCTTTAATTGGTTTATTGATTCCATATCAAGGATTTTGTTGTATGTATCAGCATGGGCCTTCCAAAGTAGGATAAAGAATGTTATGTATATATATATATATATATATATATATATATATATATATATATATATATATATATATACAAAGTGGCCCAAAAGTCTGGAAACGGCTAATTATCTCGTAAACTACTAGACATAATTATAAAAAAAAATTTGAGATACGCCTATTTTGGGATACGGAGATTCAATATTTGGTATTTGCAATGTTGCCAGATTTTCAGTTTCTCTTATATTACTAGTAACTTTGGTTTTTCAAATGTATCACCCTGCATATTCAGTCATTATTGGAATTTCCTATTAAATACGAGTTCAACCATATGTAACACTTATGATTTTATGTAGTCTGGAAGGTCTTAAATACATAAAACAGAAGTCTGGCAACGCCTAAATTGTTTCAATACATTTTTTAATACTAACTATTTTCAAATACATTAAAACGTAGCAATTGATAGTTTATAATATTTTTTAACATAATAGTTACGTTATTAAGTGTTTAAAATGTGCTCCATTTGTGAGTTGACAGCACTCTAATCGATGGTAGAATGCGTCTACCACATTTCTCCATGATTGTCTAGAAATTATTCGAGATTCATCGATAATTCATTGCCTTAGCTATGCAAGAGTTGCTGGTTAAGTTTTGTAAACTGAATTTTTCAAGTATCTTTAATAAAAATAATCTTTAGGACTAAGATCGGGTGAACGTGGAGCCCATTCAATTCTACCTTGTCTACCAATTTATCGTCCGGGAAATATCTCATCTAAATAACGCCGAACATTTACACCAACTATCTGTCGTTAAATTTCTTTCGATAAAAGATGGCCCAATTAAATAAGTACCTACTATAACTGACCATACGTTTAATTTTTGTGGTCTTTGAGTATGGTTTTCACGCATTTAATGTGAATTTCATACGAGTTCAGCTATTCAATACGAGTTCAACCATATGTTCACTTGATTTTATGTAGTCTGAAAGATCTTAAATACATAAAACAGTGCAAAATATGTAGATTTTAATAAATTTAAATATTTAAATGGAGAATGCTGTGATTTTGACATTTGTTCACCATTTAAATTATGAACTAAAATTGACAGTAGTTGTGCTTCAAAAAGTTCTGCCATTTAAATTGCTTCTCTAAAATGCCGTTCTCTAAACTGTTCTCCTATTTATAAGACGACGGTACAAAAAACTGTAAGGCGATTTGAGGAATCTGGAAAAGTAAAAGATAGATACCGATCAGGTTGACCGAAACGAGTTATCAATGACAACAGAACTTCAGATATAAGCAAAGTTTTGTTGAAGATCCACATACATCCCCAGGCAGGGTTGCACAAGTACATGATGTAGGTCATTCTTCAGTCTTACGTTTATTACGTAAAAATAAATTTAAATCATACAAAATTAACTTATTGCAAGAATTAAGTAAAGATGCTAGATTAGAGTTTACTGAGGTAATGATGGATAAAATTAAAAATTATTAAAATTTCGTTAACAGAATATGTTTTTCCGATGAAGCAGCTTTTACACTGTGTGGAAGTGTAAATTGACACAATTTAAGGTACTGGTGTGACGTAAATTCACACTGAAGACTGAATTAAACCATACTCAAAGACCACAAAAATTAAATGTATGGTCAGATATAGTAGTTACTTATTCAATTGGGTCATTTTTTGTCGAAAGAAATTTAACGTCAGATAGTTGGTGTAAATGTTCGGCGATATTTAGATGAGATATTTCCTGGACGATAAATTGGTAAACAAGGTAGAATTGAATGGCCTCCACGTTCACCCGATTTCAATCCTAAAGATTATTTTTATTAGGAATACTTGAAAAATTCAGTTTACAAAACTTAACCAGCAAGTCTTGCAGAGCTAAGGCAACGAATTATCAATGAATCTTGAATAATTTCTAGACAATCACGGAGAAATGTGGTAGACGCCTTCTACCATCGATTAGGGTGCTGTCAACTCACAAATTGAGCACATTTTGAACACTTAATAACGTAACTACTATGTTAAAAAATATTCTAAATTATGAAATGTTACGTTTTAATGTATTTAAAAATAGTTAGTATTAAAAAATTTATTGAAACAATTTAGGCGTTCCCAGACTTCGGTTTTATGTATTTATGACCTTCCAGATTACATAAAATCATAAGTGTTACATATAGTTGAACTCGTATTGAATAGGAGATTCCAATAATGACTGAATATACAGGGTGATGTATTTAAAAAACCAAAGTTACTAATAATATAAGAAAAACGGCAAATCTGGCAACATTGTAGATATCATATATGGAATCTCCGTATCCCAAAATAGGTGTAGTCCCAAGTTTTGTACAATTATGATTAGCATTTTACGAGATAATTAGCCATTTCTAAACTTTTGGGCCACTCTGTATATATATATATATATATATATATATATATATATATATACATATATATATATATATATATATATATATATATATATTATTTATATATATATTATTTCATGATGGTTCAGAAAACCCATGTGCCCATGTGTAGCAATAGATTTATAAGTTATTACTTACAAGGATGAAAATGAACCTTTTAACGGGATTAAAATAACGTGTTTTAAGGTTTTCTTATCCAGATTATCTACAGGAAGATCTTCAATTGATGAAAACTATTTCAATTGAGAACTCTCATCCTCCAAATATGCTACATAGAGAGAGATTTTGCGAAATCTCAGAACTATGTATGTAACAGTCGAACATCTATTATCATTCACTGCGTTAAACACCATTATTAACACCTAAATTAATACAAATCCTAAGGGTTATTGATAATATAAAAATAGCAACAAAAAACATTAAAATTATTTTATCTTTGTATTTATTTAAAAACTGAATATCTTATAGAAAAATTAAATAAAACAAATAAAGTATATAGCATTAATTATACTCAGTGTGAAGCTGTGTATATTGGTGAAACCGGGAGAAATGAAGTTGACATAAAAGGAACTTGACAAAAATAAAAACCATGTACAATGGGCTAGTGGATGTTCAAGATGTAATAATAAACAACACTGCACCTGAGATAGTAGACGAGTATGAATATTTCATACTGACAAAATTGTGGCATTCTTCAAGTAAAGTCCTTCCAACACAACATAACCCAAGTTGAGTAAATCAAACTAGATGTTATTTTTTATAAAAGGAAAAGCATTTTTTATAAAGCATACTGCGTGGAGCATAAAATTAAACTGGGTTGTGAATATGCTCATCAAATTAAGTAAACTGAAATACCTGGCTAAGAATTAATATGAGTTCTATAATAAAAAGGTGTTACCTTTTGGTTAAAAGTACCATTTTGTAGTTAAATTAAGGTAAAATATTTTGAATTATGTTCTTGATGTTTTTTTTTTCAAAAATGCTTTTAAATTATTTTTAAATAATTTTAATATTTTTTTGAATTGCTTACAATTAAGAGAGAAAAAATAAATTATTGATTTGGTTGTGGTCTTGTGTATTCAACAGTGATTAGACAGTCACTGGAAATCATGAAATATTTAGTTTTTTTTTATTTGTTTACAAAAATTATTATGTATTTGATATCTCTGTGTGTCGTTTATGTTAAAAATAAAATAGGTGTGAACTTCTACGGATTTTTGCTTAGAACGTAAAATACCGCTTAGAAGAGTAGTTATGTTATTGTCCTGCTTTATATAAATCCAACATCCACCAGTTGCAATTAAATCAGTAAATCTTATACATAGCAACATAGAAGCTAGAGAAATCATAAGCGTGACCACAAAATCTTTATAATTTATTATAGGGGTTCAAAATAAATAAATCTACTTACAGTTCCTTTAATTTATTAATTTATACTTACTCCAGAAGGCATTTATCGACATTGGAAACTGCTTTAAATCCAAGAATGGCAAATATAACGACGCTTGCATAAATTGCTGTAACTGCATTACAGATGGAGACCAGAATAACGTCTCTGACACAATTGTTTTTTGGAGTGTTGTACGATCCAAAGGCAATCAGTGATCCGAAGGCTAACCCAAATGAGTAGAACACTTGAGTAGCCGCGTCTAACCAGACCTTCGGTTCTGTTAGTTTTTCAACCTAAAATAAATATTTTGAATAAAGAGATATGACTAATAAAACCATTTCATAATTAAACTAGTCATATAGAGTCTAGACAAGAGCGTAACACTTTAAAAAGAATATGTTGATATTATTTATGAGTTTACCTTACTTTTTAGTATTCTAGTGAGAAAAATACCTTGTTGTTCAACATTTTCACAATTGTCTAAAATTTCTAAATCAACACATCCGTTTCCTACCAATGCTGTTATTGCAACTAATCTTTTAGTGTGTAATTAATTATAGCAACTGGTATTTATTTCCATGTGTAATATATCCCAGACACTGCAGTTTTCTTGTTTTAATTGTCAATATTGTCACTCCTAATTTGTTAACTCAAAATATTCGGAGGTATAAATAGTTCCCCAATCGGATCTCCAGGGGGAGCGGTCTTGAATGTTTTAAACGTACAAGCAAACTTAAGAAAGACATTAAAGATAGGCACCTGGAATACACGCAGCTTATTTGAGGCCGGGAAGCTGGCTAACCTAACTCAAGAAATGAGCAGATTTGATCTAGATATCCTTGGGATCTCAGAAACCTGGTGGCCTGGATCCGGTAAATGCACTACAGAAAGCGGAACATTCTTTTACTCAGGCAATGATGACCGCGATCATAGAAAAGGCGTCGGGATTATGATAACTAAAAGATTGGTGAGAGCTATCACAGAGTTTGTACCATATTCCGACCGCACGGCCTTAGTAAAACTTGAAGCGAAGCCAAATAATCTCAACATTATACAGGTTTATGCACCAACTACAGACGCATCAGATGAAGTAGTGGAAAACTTTTATAGTGAAATCAAAGAAATATTTAAATTGACAAAGAAACATGATGTCAACATAATTATGGGAGATTTTAATTCCAAAATAGGGAACGGCAGATTTGAAGACGTAGTTGGACCCTATGGTCTTGGAACAAGAAACGAAAGGGGCGACCGACTTATACAATTTTGTTAAGAAGAATACATGAGAGTTACTGTTTGAGAAAGTATTTACGCATAAATATAAAATGAATGCGTAAATACTTTCTCAAACAGTTACCAACACATGGTTCCAACTCCACCTGGAAATCTCCAGCCGATAGAGCTCAGAACATAATAAGAAATCAGATAGACTTCATTCTTATCAACGGTAGATTTAGCATAACTGTCAAAATAGCTTGCACATACCCTGGAGCAGATGTCCCTTCTGACCACGTACTATTAGTGGCCGTCCTAAAGATCGCTCTTTCATGCAAGAACAAGCCTGAAACTCAACAACAGATATCACTGGATAAACTGAAAGACCCAATGATACAAGCAGAAATAAGCAATAAAATAAACGCACAAATTCAAATATTGACGACAAACATTACCGAAGATCTAACACCAACATGGAATACGATTACAAGTGCTGTAACAGACATCATGAAAAACAACTTAGGGTACAAACGAAACAACAAGAGGCAAAAATGGATGACAGAAGAAATACTATTACTAATGGAAGAACGACAAAGACACAAGAATGACCAAGATGGCAGCAATATGTATGAAAACATTAACAGGCAAATAAAAGCAAAAATAAGAATAGCAAAAAATGAATGGCTTAAGCAACAATGTATCCATTCAGAACATTTACAACGACAGCACGACGACCGTAATTTACATAAAAAGCTTAAGGAGACTGCTGGAATATACAGAAAACGAAGACCAACTACCATAGTTAATCAGGATAACCAGATAGTGCTGGGTGAAAAGGAGAAAATTGATATATGGGAAAATTATATCCATTAGCTCTTCCATGACGAAAGACCCATGAGTGAAGTTTATACAGATGACCAGCTGGCTCTTCAATCACCAAAGAGAAGATAGAAAAGGCAATATTAAATTCAAAAAACAATAAGGCACTTGGACCAGATGAAATCCCGTCAGAAACACTCAAATTACTAGATGAAAGGGGAATTTCAGCACTACACAAAATATTTAATTTAATTTATGAAACTGGCTGCTATCCTCAACAGTGGTTACGCTCTACCTTTATTCCCCTGCCCAACAAAGTCAATGCAAAAAGATGTAAGGATCACAGACTCATTAGCCTGATGAGTCACACTTTAAAGATATTCTTAAAAATACTACATCAAAGATTATACAAAAAATGTGAATGGGACATCAGTGATTCCCAGTTCGGGTTTAGGCAAGGTTTAGGAACACGAAAAGCAATAGTAGCATCACAGGTGCTGGTCCATAGTTGTTACGATCAGAGGAAGGATGTGGTCCTATGCTTTTTAGATTACCAAAAAGCGTTTGATCGTGTCCAACACCACAAGTTAATGCAGATTCTCAAGAAAGTTGATATAGACCAAAAAGACATAAGATGCATTGAAAACTTGTACTGGCATCAAACGGCACAGCTAAAAATAGACAATTCTATATCCAAACCCATACATATAAGAAGAGGCGTTCTACAGGGATGTGTGCTTTCCCCTCTTTTATTTAACATTTATTCGGAAGCCATATTTCAAGAGTCTTTGGAGGATGCAGAAATGGGAATCAAGGTGAATGGAGTATTGATCAACAACATACGATATGCTGATGATGGTGTCTTAATTTGTGACAACATAGTCGATCTTCAACAACTTGTTACTATAATTGGAGAATACAGTAAGCAAATGGGATTAGAGATTAATACCAAAAATACCAAATTCATGATCATCTCCAGAAACCTATATGCACTTGAAAACTCCACCATAACACTGAATACTAAGTCCATTGAAAGAGTGAATAAATTTAAATACCTGGGATCATGGCTTTTTAAAGACTGGGCATCGGACAGGGAAGTAAAATGTCGCATTGAGCAAACTCGACAAGCTTTCGTAAAATTCAAGAAAGTACTGACTTGTTCAGAGTTTGATCTTCAACTGAGACTAAGGTTTACTAAGTACTACGTATGGTCAGTGCTGCTATATGGCGTAGAGGGCTGGACACTTAAAACGAGGGATATAAACAGATTAGAAGCTTTCGAAATGTGGCTTTATCACCGTATCCTAAAAATACCATGGAAAGCGAAAATCACAAATATAGATGTCCTTAAAAGAATAAACCAAGAACGCTAACTTTTCGAAACCACCAAGAAAAGGAAAACGGCGTATCTAGGTCACATCATGCGAAATGAAAAATACCAGTTTCTCCAACTTATAATCGAGGGTAAAATTGAAGGCAAGAGGGGAATGGGACGCAAGAAAATGTCCTAAGGCAATGGACAATATACAAACAGTAAATTTACTGTTTGTATTATGAGAACGATTTCCGAAGTGGAAATTGAAATGTCAATAAACGTATTTTTATCTTTAATTGTGGCTTATTCCCAGTTTAATAGTAATTAAGTTTATTGCTGATAAATTGTTTGTTTTTATGCTGCCTAAAAAATGATATCGTTGAGTTGCGTTCCTGGGACGACTTTACTGTAAGATAGTTCATTCGATTACATGAAATTCTAAAATTGTAAACTTTGCTGCTATTCATTATTTTATTTGTTTATCTTAGAAAGTGAAAAGGCAACCTGCCACTCAAGTTTCGCATACAAATTTTGATGTTTTATTTTAATTGAATATTATAATGAACGATATTGCATAAATTTTATAAATAACATGTGTACGTAAACAAACTATCTAATTTTTATTAATATTATTTATATGAAATTAGATAATTACCTTTGGAGTTAACATGTGGGCTAGACCGGCACTGGCACCTTTAAGCGTAATTCCTCGTATGAAAAATATCGTTAACACTAAGTATGGAAACAGCGATGTGAAGTATACCACCTAAAAATAATTAAATATGAGAAACATTAAACGTTAAGAAAGTTTATCACTATGAATAAAGAAAATTAAAAACTAAAAATTCGATCTGTTTTATTTGCAGAGCAAATATTCAAACTAAGTCTTTCAAAACAACCGGCATAATTCGTTTAAAAAATTGCCGAAGAATATACCGTTAGGATCACCTAAGAATTCTAATAATTACAGTCAAATTCGAAAACGGTGTTTTGGCAGGCACTTTATTTGTATTTATAAAAAGTTACACCTTCCAAATCTATTTTATTGTTCCGTTTTGCAACAAGACGTAAAGACGTTTTACTTGTATCTCCAATCTCTTAAGTCTACTTTTGTTTTTTAATGCTCGGACCTCTTGTTTTTGTAAATTCTATTTTGCATTTTCTCATCTGAATAGAGTCCCGTTATAAGTCCAAGTTTTCAAATTACCCATTGAAAATTCAAATTTTCTCCTAATTCGGAGGCCAGTTTATCCTGATTCGGAATTTAAGTCTCGCCATATCTAAGTAGGAAGCCAGGAAGCTTTTGTGTCTCAGTTTGATGACCACCATCTTATTAATCTGATCAACAAACTATTGGAAATATTCTCCTCATAATTCTCCTCATAAGTTAAGAAAATTCTTTCAAGTTACGTTTATGAATGTAGCTATAAATTAAAACCTTTTGTTAATAACAGTGCATATTTCATATAATTTTCGTATTATTTATAGTTAATTAATATTTTTGGATATTATGGTACCAAATAGTGAGAGAGAGGACTAAAGTTATAGATGTCATAGAAAAAATTGCACAAGCCAAATGGAGATGGGCTGGACATATAGCACGTTTAAATGATAATAGGTGGACCAAAAAACTCATATAATGGAGACCTAGAGAAGACAAAAGACACCGAGGCAGACCACCAAAAAGATGGATGGACGACTTGAGAAAAACAGTCGGAAATTGGATACAGAAGGCGCAAGATAGAGAACAGTGGAAGAACATGGAGGAGACCTATATCCAACAGTGAATGCAAGAGGTTGAGGAATGATGATGATGATGATGATGAATATTTTTGGACAGTCTTTATTTTTAACATGTTTAAATCAAAATAATCTAACTAAATATTTAATAATTTGTTCTTGTTGCCTATTTAAATTTCTAATTGCATTTTTTATATATAACACAGTTAATCAATTGTAAAGAGACATCCCTTAGTTATTTGATTACACTATTAGATTACAATGTGATTTTTTTTGATATTTTATATTTTAAATATATTTTGATATAGTGAGTTTTACCATTTTCTATTCCTATGACATTTGCACTTTTTTCTTTGTTTTGCGACATACCATATATGTTTTTTGGAAACTCAATTACTTAAAATATTGGCACCTTTTTTTTAAGAGTAGTTCTCTTCCTTATGTATTTTTTTTTGTTTTGTATTTATCGTTTCTTATGTTTCTCATCTCTATAAATGAACTCGCTCATAATCTACCAGGACTGACTAATGGTGCTTTCGAGCATATAGTATATTGGTGTTCTTAGTTTTATTAATGGTATTAAATAGATAAATAATATTTTTTCTTAAGTTTAACCCTATTTAATAGTTTAATCCAAAAAATATCATACCTTTCCAGAACTTTGTATTCCTTTCATCATAATAAAGAAAACAACAACCCACGAGAGCAGCAAACATAGAACTATCCACCATTTTGGCATACCTGGATCTTCAATGTTAGGAGAGGCGTCCAAAGTAACTCTGTACCAAAAATATGCTGTTGCTGAGGACTTATCACATTCTGCATCAACTGTTCCATTGTAAATAGGACATGATTCCCATGGAAGCGGATACTGAAAATAAAATACATTTATTAGTTAAATTAATTAATTAATTAGTTAAGTTAAATATTGTATGTATATTTAATTATATATTTTAAACACAAGAACATACACAAGATGTTTGAGAAAGTGTGCGCGAATTCATTTTATATTTTTATAGTTAATATTTTTTCTGTTACGGTACTGTAATATGACCTAATTTGGTACTGTATTTTAAAAGACCTTTTTGAAATATATTATTTCCTGTGAGTTCGTAAAACTTAAACTGGCTCTCATTTATCATGTTAAAGTACGCAGAATTGGGCTTTTTTCTTTGTATTCTATGTCACAAATACAAAGATCGAAACAAGTGGTTGATTTATGGCATGCCCGGCCTACGAGATATTGACCATCCAACCAGAGGGTGGTGGTGCGGGAGACGCTCTCAAACCCTCAACATTGGCACTTCTTCGTCAGACATCGATCGATCGACACGCATCAAGTTCCCGCGTCCCGGGCGTCGGTACCACCGGCCAACTCTATAGCTTGGTACGAATTCATCAATAGAACCAAAGGGCTCGTGAAGGATATTTCTAAGTTGTGGATTTTCTGAAAGTTAAAAAGCCTATTTTCTGTTATTATATTGTTTTTACGCACCTGTTAGTTTTATCCCAACACGACCAAGCTCGTGAAGGATATTTCTAAGTTGTGGATTTTCTCAGTAGGCACCGTTTAGTTTTGTCCCAACACGACCCAGCTCGTGAAGGATATTTCTAAGTGGTTGATTTTCTTAGTAGGCACCTGTTAGTTTTGTCCCAACACGACCCAGCTCGTGAAGGATGTCTCTAAGTTGTGGATTTTCTGAATGCTCTTTATTTATCTTTTTCTCTTGTTTATATTCGCTACTTATTCGTTATTCTTATGCATATCTTCGTTTTATATGCTAAAGAATCGCTTCAGGAAATTCCCGAATCTCAAAGAAACATATGTTGCATTCATGGAGGATTTTATTGCTTCTCAACATATGATGCCGGTTCCTGAATCCGATTTTAAAGCGACTATTTCTTATAACTCTCACACAGTTTTCAAAAAACAAATTTTTATTTCGCTTCTTTTATCCAAAATTCGTACTAGCTTCGACGCTAATCGACACATTTGATACTAATCCTTAAAGGGCATCTGGTTCTTTACTTAATTTTCGATATCTTCGTTGGTGTTTTATTTGCAATATAAGGCAAACGTATCGACAAATTAAAGCAAATAAGGAATTTTGGAACTATAAAAGGGGGTCCTCTGGAGATCGGATTTTTAAACCTCTCCAAGTTGTTATTACGTATCGTTACTTACGGTACTTCTTTGTTTTATTTCGCTTAAAGACTCAACAAGAGTAACGCTTTGTGTACGCAGCCTGATTCCCACCTAATTCGGAACGACGAACACGGTTTGCGAATCACGGCCTCGCGTTTTGTTTCGCTTACAAACTCTACAAGAGTAACGCTTAGTTTTATTGCTCAATGGTTTTCGCTAGGCAGTGGGCCAGCAGCCATCTCGACGGACCTACGTCATAATCACGCTTCGAGTGATTTTCTTTGATCTACTCACCTTCTGCAGTGAGTAATCGCTTAGCTTCTAAAGCTCGCTTTATTTTTCGCTAGACAAAGCAACATTGTGTCAGCGACCATATTTATTTTTCGCTAGATAAAGCAACATCGTCAGCGACCATCTTTATTTTTCGCTAGACAAAGCAACATTGTGTCAGCAATTATTTTTATTTATTTGTAAGTCTTTGGCTTAGACATTTTGACATGTTGTTCTTTAACACAGAGGAACTTTTCATTTTTACGGTACTAGGCCTAAAATGGAATCCTACGACTGACTTCTTTTCTCATGCTTCTCGTCCCTTTGACAAACCCTGTACAAAGCGGGCTATTCGTTCGTAAATCAGTCGTATTTTTGTCGCTATCCTCTTGTTTTTATTCCTTTTTCATGTCTTTTTGCTAGTCAAACGTCTTCTACAACCGTTGTGGTACTTCGATGTAGTCTGGGATGATGGAACATCTGAACAGATACATCTGACCTCTGTATTTTGTATGTGTTACATTTTTGGTGTTAGTTCTATACACGAACATCTATCGCAGGATCGGAACTCTTGGCAGCTATACGGCTGACTGATCTAGTCACATTTGTCAACGAGTCTAGTCCAATTTTCATGCTCGCTCTGTCTCGACAAGATTGGAACTCTTGGCAGCCATAGTGCTGGCTGATCAAGTCACCTTTGTCATAGGGTTTTCCTTCCGATCCTCCGATATTTGATCTGACTCTACGCTTGCGCTCTCTTGAGCTCATTTTTCAACCCATAAATTGTCAATCGTATTAAACACATACAAGAACTGATACCACACTCTACTCGGCATTATATGCCTTCTAATCAACACCTCTCTGATTGTGTTAGTCGTGTTTTATCACCGGCACAATTATTACAATTTTCACCAAACTGGCATTTTCCTACCGTAGATCTCGTTGAAATATCATTACTTCCCAGCTGTCATTGCAGACTTGAAATGCGACATCACGTCGAGATTTCGACGCTGTTTTTCTTCTTGTTTTTTTTTGCGCACTCCACGGAATTCTTATAAGAAAAGGGGCCAACGCTATTGTGTTTGACACAATCTTTTTAGTTTAGCCGATCGAAAATTCTACCGATTCGACGCTATTCTTTTCTAATTGATGACATTGTACGCGTTGTTAATCTGAGTACAGTTTCAGGTGGCATCCAACAATGTTCTGTGGTCAAAATATGACCGCCGCTTATTTGTTAGTTTATATTTTATTCCTACTTAGTTCTTATTTAGTATATCTAGCTTCTCATGTCTATTCTTTATACTTATACTTTTAGCTGTTCTTAAAAACATTCGTTTTTGGAGCGGGAGAATGTTTGAGAAAGTGTGCGCGAATTCATTTTATATTTTTATAGTTAATATTTTTTCTGTTACGGTACTGTAATATGACCTAATTTGGTACTGTATTTTAAAAGACCTTCTTGAAATATATTATTTCCTGTGAGTTCGTAAAACTTAAACTGGCTCTCATTTATCATGTTAAAGTACGCAGAATTGGGCTTTTTTCTTTGTATTCTATGTCACAAATACAAAGATCGAAACAAGTGGTTGATTTATGGCATGCCCGGCCTACGAGATATTGACCATCCAACCAGAGGGTGGTGGTGCGGGAGACGCTCTCAAACCCTCAACATTGGCACTTCTTCGCCAGACATCGATCGATCGACACGCATCAAGTTCCCGCGTCCCGGGCGTCGGTACCACCGGCCAACTCTACAGCTTGGTACGAATTCATCAATAGAACCAAAGGGTAAGTCTATTCTTGTATAAAACATTGATAATGAGTAAACCAGTTTATTTCTAATTTATTTCTACTTTTACAATTTATAATTGCTATTTTCACCAATTTTATGTATCAACAATATCACATTTTTTTCGTTATAATTACTTATTCAATGTAATTTAAACCAGCGACTTCTCAAGTTTAATCACTAAACACAAGATAACCTAGACCTCTCCTGATGGAAGGACAACGAGTCACATGTTCATAGATTCAAGGCATGGAACAGACGTAATAAACTGCAGAAGTTATAGAGGTACAAACATATACTCAGATGATTGTCTGGTGATCTCAACATTGAGGGCTAGAATTTGAAATACCAGTAAAGAAAATAAAATATATACAAAAAAAGGAATGTGCAAAAGCTGAGAGATGCGACAATTGAAGAACGTTACTCAGATAACAGGCTAAGGAATCAAAATGCATATGAAGAAAGCCAGACAAATATAGACTCCTACTGGACCAGAATAAAGGAAGAGATTATAGCAGCAGCGAAAGATGAAACAGCAACAGAAATTTGTGCCCGCAAAAATCATTCGTTTGACGATGAATGCAAGAATGCAACAAAAGAAAACAATGAAGCCTACAGAAAGATGCTTACTCGACTAACTAAAACAACTGTAGATAATTACCAGACAAATAGATAACAAAAATGATGACTGAACTTAAATATATATATATAAAACCTAAACAGAAAGAAATAATTCAGAGCATTCTATAAGACAGTTCAGATCAACAGAAAATAAGATGATGCAGAAGTCAGAATGGCGACCTATGAACAACAAGAACAGATGTATTGAATAGATGGGTGAAATAATTTAACCAGGCACTTAATACAGAGGAAGAAGAAAGAAGTGGAAGACGAAAGAGATGAAGTAATGGCAGCATACGAGAGGGAAGAGAAACCACCAATAATTCTTAAAGTTAAAGATGCAGTTAAAAAATTAACCGGAAACAAATTATCCGAAATAGATAATCTTCCATCTGAGCTATATAAAGTACTATATAAAGGAGTACTTTTCACCATACACAAAAAGAAGATATGTTCGAATGCTCTAATCACAGAGGAATTATGCCTCTAAATGCAGCGTATAAAATATTTTCCACTGTACTATGTCACCGTATGGCACCATACGCGGCACGGATACTTGGAAAATGCCAGGCTGGTTTCAGAGGTGGTAAATCGACAATTCATTAGATTGCAATCCTGAAACAAATTTTGGAACAAAATCATTGGAATATGGCATTGATACTCACTACATATTTTTATAGACTACAAAGCAGCCTACAACTTTGTGAATAGAAGAGAAATGTTCAAAGCCATGAAAGAGCTAGGAATACCAAATCAGTTGGTAAATTTACAAAACTACCTCTTGAAAAAGTTTATTGTAGAGTACGAATTCAGGAGAACTATTCAGGAACAGATACAATAGTATACAGAACAGGGAGACCCTCTCTCCTGTATACTATACAATCTGGCTCTCGAAAAAGTAATACGTATGTTACAAATCACAACTACTGGTTTAATATATAATTAATCAGTGCAAATCCTGTCATCCACAAAATAGACGCCTTGGCCCTATAGAAAGGCAACCATATAAGGTAGAAGACAATCATAAATACAAATTTCTAAC